TAGCTTCTCAGGACAATATAGGGAAGTATGTGGTTACTGTAGGACCAGTTACCACATACAGATTAGATATGAAGTGTTTGCCATGGCTACGATGCTCCTTCCTTCCGGCCTTTATCGATGAAAGTGATCCGTCAGTGTTTTGGCATGTGGCTAAGGAGACATATTTTCTGTGTTTTTGTGATGAAAGCTCAAGAGGCGAGCTGACGAGCCTGTTGGCAAATGTTTATTGTGTTGCATCTTAAAGCACTCAAGGAAAGAAGGAAGGAAGCGGCACAAATAGAGCACTCTGCTTTCATCAGAGGGAGGGCTGAATGTTTTTTGTAGCTCTCAGTGGGCAGGAGCTCACTTCCCACAGGTGACACTTTAATACAGGGAGGATTACGGGGCCTTTAGCCCTGATTTAGGACTGCAGGGCATTAAGATCCCAGAGAGCAATGTTTCAGTCACTCAGGCATTAAAACAATCTCTTGGAAGGGGAGTGTTGACAGTTCAAACGTATCCGATAGTAGGCAATCTTGTTAGAAACTGATAATGTTTAAAATATCGACAATACGATTCACTCCATTAAAGATGCATGTTGAATAATAGATAGGCTACTGTGTGTTGTGTTGGCATTGGTAGGTGGAATATACATTTTAAATCCAGCCGTAACACCAGAAAAAACATCAACATTGGAAGACTCAAAACCCTGGATTACAGACAATGTCAATTTATTTCTACAGGGCTTTTAAAAAATTAAGTTTCACTGCTTATTCACAACCGAGTGTGAAGCGGCTGGGATGAGGATCAGCACCTCCAAATCTGAGGCCATGGTTCTCAGCAGGAAACCGATGGACTGTCCACTCCAAGTAGGGAATGAGTCCTTACCCCAAGTGAAGGAGTTCAAGTATCTCGGGGTCTTGTTCTCGAGTGAGGGAACAATGGAGCGTGAGATGGGCCGGAGAATCGGAGCAGCGGGAGCGGTACTACTGCAGTCGCTTTACCGCACCGTTGTGACGAAAAGGGAGCTGAGCCAGAAGGCAAAGCTCTCTGTCTACCGGGCCATTTTCGTTCCTACCCTCACCTATGGTCATGAAGGATGGGTCATGACCGAAAGAACGAGATCGCGGATACAAGCGGCCGAGATGGGTTTTCTCCGCAGGGTGGCTGGTGTCTCCCTTAGGGATAATGTGAGAAGTTCGGTCATCAGGGAGGGACTCGGAGTTGAAACGCTCCTCCTTCGCGTCGAAAGGAGCCAGTTGAGGTGGTTCGGGCACCTAGTTAGGATGCCACCTGGGCGCCTCCCTAGGGAGGTGTTCCAGGCACGTCCAGCAGGGAAGAGACCAAGGGGTAGACCTAGGACCAGGTGGAGGGATTATATCTCTTCGCTGGCCTGGGAGCGCCTTGGGATCCCCCAGTCAGAGCTGGTTGATGTGGCCAGGGAAAAGAAAGTTTGGGGCTCTCTGCTGGAACTGCTACCCCCGCTACCCCCGCGACCCGACCACGGATAAGCGGGAGAAGATGGATGGATGGATGCTTAGTCAAAGTGGTTTTCATTAAAACAACTGCCTACATTTGATATAATATTATAGAATTTCAAGGTCAATTTTGACGTTAAAACAAACTCAAAAATAGCTCCAACAATTATTCAAATAATCGATTTGCTTTGATTTAGTTGATCATTGTTAAAATAATCGCTTATTTTGGAAATCGATTATTTGTTTTTAATGCAGAAAGTGCTTTTACGGATTGTTTTATGAAAAAACATGACGTTTAAAAACACAACCTTGGACTGTGAGTAACTTGGATGGACATTTTCTTTACAGTTTTCTGACTTTTTATAGACAAAATGATTAATCATTGCACAAATTAATTTGGCAGCAGCCCTTAAACTCAGGATTGTTTTCAAAGACTCGCTGGCCCAGCATCATTGAGTGTTTAATCTTGGTTTTAGAGTCAGTTGAAAACAGTAAATCAAATATGGTTTGCTGCCCTGAGATCTGTGGTCCGATTCAAATGGACTGAGCTATTATTTTTCCAGCATCCTGTTTCCAATCCAGAGGGACTGTGACGTGTGGAGATAGCAGCTCAGACTAAATGCACTGTCTTCAGTCTGGACAGTCTGATGTAACTGATCTCTCAGTGTCTTCCTGTCTATGAACAAGTCTTTTTGTGTTTCCACCAACGTTACAGTCGTGTTTCCACACCTATCACTCTTTTTCATACACAGGTTAATTCAAGAAATAGCAAGGGAAATGTATCCTCTGCACTAAATTACTTTCTCTGTCACAGGTCATGCACAGGGCTATCTGGCAGAGCTGCAGTAGTCTGTGTCACCATATCGGATTTAAACAGTGAGGTTAGACGAGGTAACTGCAAAGTCCATCTTTGCTGCAGAAACTAACAGGATTGTTGATTCAACTGTTTTTTAATTGATGGTAAATCTACAACAATGCAGAACATGGGCATCCTCATTATTGGGCCCATATTAGATAATATTCTGTTCAGGAAGACAACTTGACGCCAAAGTCGTAAACATCTCTGGCCCTGGGACCAACTGTTGTGGCTCGCTGCTGGAGTTGATAAGCCCCACAGGATGGCACAGCTGGGCTTATCGGCCAAACCGAAAGCCTCTGCTATCGCTGGGTGCACTGGCAGAGGAAAAACTCATCCCCTTATCTCCCCTCTGCTGGGCAATAACCCTCCTTCCACTTCAGGTGGCGCTCTACTTTCTCCTTAGTTGACCACAAGGGGGGTTGCAGTGACGGAGCAAGATTAAAAGGCTCAGACCATTCTATGACTCCTACATGCTGAGGTGTTTGGCATGCAGACAATATTGGAGAACTGAAGTGTTTATTTTGAATGCATAAAGCTTGCCATCACAAGAAAGGCAGCTAATTTCAAGACAATAGCAGTGCGTGTGACGAGGTGGCAATAGGAAATCCAATGTTGAAGTTAGTGGGATTATTTAATGAGCAGATATGAAAACAACCTCTTGTGTAAGTGCTGAAAAAAGGAAGAACACAAGCCAGTCTGGATGAGTTCCAACCAGCAGAGCCTGTGCTGACCTGCCTTACTCATACAAACACAGCCTTATTTAAACCGGAGCCTGCTGTGAGGAACATGTGCCTCTGACCCCCGAGGAGACTCACACTGTCTCTGCCTCAGATGTGGGGAAGTAGGAGCATCTTTTTTTCAAATGAGCTGACAAAGTAAAAGCATGCATTTTGAAAGAAACGCAGCAGCCTGACTTCACTAAAGGGCGTCCTACTGGCCATGGAGGGCTCATTCTGCCGCCCGTCATAACGACTTCAGACAGCCTCATGTTTTGCTCCTCAGCCACAATAACAACCTGCATTATTAATAGTCACACACACTCCAAACTCCAAAGTTAAAGACGTTTTTGTAAATATGTTGTACTTTTAGGAACCTCTAGCCTTCTTTTCCTGTAATTACATATTCATCCTGATGTATATATAGTTTATAAAACCACTTATACTTAATAATTATCCTGAAGTGTGTGAACCAAAGTATAACTTAGTACTCCATTACAAGTTAGAGTCCTGGATTCAAAATCTAACTTATGAACAAGTGTCAGCAGCATATTTTCCTCAGTTAATAATGACAACATGTTTTATTTATAGCAGCATCTATCAGTGAATGAGGTACTGAGGTAAGAGAGATGATTGAGCCTATGGCCCACTGATGAAAGTCCCTGCATTTATCTTTATTATCAACCTGGATATGTGGCAGTATTCCCGGGAAATATCACATGCAACGACACTAGCTGTGTTGAACTTGTGAATCTCATATTAATGATTGTCCTTACCAACTAGGATTCAAAAGGAGTAAGTAGTAGGTTCTAATGCATTGCATGAGGATAAAAGTACACAATAGGTCTAATTGGAAATACTATGCACAAACTCAATTTACTAAATTAGATACCACCATTTGGAATGCGTAACATACAGATTCTAAACACTTTCTTTTTAAATGAGAAGGAATATGTTTTAAAGACAGGATGTCATCCTATCTAACAGGAAGTTACCTTTTCGCCCTCCTCTGGAATTATTGCAGCATGGATTCCACAGGAAGCCCTCCCAAAATCTACCTGGGTCTTATCAGTGTATCATAATAAAACACACAGGGATTTCAGTGGTCTTAAAACAACAGTCAGTGTGACGAAGGTAACTTCGTCACTGTGAACTGACGGCTTCGGGCATTTTTATACAATTTATTGATGTAGTGTTTATTGTATTTTATTTTGAAATGTGTTCCCCTTTCCCCATGTCTGTTGCCGTTGATTGTGTGCACCTGGTGCCCTGTGTTGTCTCCTCCCTCCCCCTCACCTGTGTCTTGTTGTGCTGATTAGAGTGTGTGTATTTAGGCTCTGTTTCCCTGTCTGTTGAGAGGCTGGTAGGGTGTGTGAGATCCTTGTGGCTGGTAGGATGTGTGCAAGGAGAACAACAGGATTGAGGCTGTGAACTTTGTGCACATGATTTTAATAAATGCCCACGTCGGGTTATATTTTTGGACGTTCTGCCTCTGCCTCCTTGCTTGGTCTGGGCTGCTCAACGGTCAGCTTCACAGTCAGTTACATATTTTAAATAGTAAATAACTACTTATGATTATTCAGCTTGATGCTGTGACATATAAGATTTAGGAAAACATGAGTAGGCATTTTAAATATCTGTTTTTCTTATCAGCCACAGCAATCAGGTGTGGTCACAAACTGTGTTTTTTTCTTGGCACAGCCATAGGATATCCATTTGAAATTAATTTTCCTCCCCACTCGTGCCAAATCCACCCTCTCAAAGTGTTCTCCTTCCTCTTAGTGGGTCTAATCCTCACGTACAGTCAAAGGACGCCTGATCCTGAAGGTTTTGTTTGCCTAGTCAGGTTCCCGTGCCAGAGGACACTTCCTTTCTATTCTTTGGTTTAATACGCTCAACTATTTCCAGGTTTTATTAATCAGCAAAGGGACACATGCCTTAAGAGAAGTATCTTTTATTGAATCTGACTGATATGTCAGAGCCCATGAGGACAAGTAAATGATCTGAGAGGTGCACCTGCAGAAGGCGAGACACCAAGATGCCACGTCTGCGTTACTGCAGGTCGGCTGCTGCTTCAGATCAGGACAGTTGCTGTACTTATCAGCGTAGGGACAGGGGTTGGCTGCAGGAGACAAGAGAAAGGACAATGAATGCATAAATAAAAAATATATAATGTGAGAGCTCAATATTAAGATTGGAGTTTTTCCAACTTGTTCTCAAATATGTTCCAAAAGCAGAAATGATCTCACTGTTTGACGTCGAAGTAAACAAGGTTATACTGAAAGAAGTACATTTTCATTCCGTCTGTGCTTAAAGAAACCTTTTTGGGCTCCACTCACGGAATTTAAACGAATCTAGTAATACATGTATTTCTTTTTATTTTGTTGCGATTTTACTTGTGATCATTTTGGTTTTAATTAGAGTTTTCTAAGCCATGAGAAAGCCAGGGAAGATGCATTTCCCTTGAACAAGTGTGCATTCAAATGTACTGAATCTAGTCCTGCAGCATTACTCTACACACAGGGGTGCCCAACCAGTCGATCGCGATCGACGGGTCGATCGCGGGAGATTCCCAGTCGATCGCGAGATGTGTCTAAAAATAGAACAACAACATTCTGTTGTATCGTTAATGTCCTGTAACATAATCTTCCTGTGCAGAATAATGTACATGAACGCATCAAAGCTTTGTGATTGGCCGGCGTGACCCCATGTGTCGGGGCGTGGCTGGTGGGCAGTGGGCAGTATTTCGCTGACGTTGTCCGTGTCAACAGGAGTGCCAGTCCGCACACACACAAGACCGCAATTATGGCAGAAGCAAAAAAGCCCAAATTATATAATTTTCACTCCGAGTGGGAGGATGATTATTTTTGTATCTATTCCAATTCAAAGTCCATCCGTCTCATCTGCAATGCGAGCGTGGCTTTATTGAAGCCACGCTCGCCACGGCCAAAAACACACACATAAGCAGGAAACACCTGCAAATAATGAAATGAAAAACCAACAAACCCTGAAAACACATACAACAGAAAAACGCTGCATTTACAGAAATGATGCAAGCTAAACCTACAACACACAAACCCCGAAAACAAACGCAACAGAAAAACGCTGCAATATACAAAAACATACAACCGAAAAACACATTACAAAAAAAAAGACATTAAAAAAAAAAACATTCCGGAAGTGCTTCAGGCCTCTAGGGGGCGCGCTACGTGGAACAGATCGATGTATGACCAGACATAGAGAGAACGAACAAGAGGAAAGAAAGTTCATTTAAGTGGAGAAAGATATAAGAAGGTAAGTTTTGTTTTTTTATACATAGAGCGTCATATTTATATAGCTAGCGTTAGCGTGCCTAACTACTACACCAGCTGAGGGAGGAGAGCTTCACGTGAAGAGAAGATAAAGTGAGGGAAGAACATTGTAAAGAGATGACAAATCAAGTGCAGGCAAATAACACGGGCCATAGTGAGTACCGCGGAAAAAGGACATTTGAATTCTTAGCAGTTTGTTTATATTTATGTATTTGTGTATAGATGTTGCAACTATACAGAGCTTTAGCAATTGCCTGTAACTATGGTCATGCTAATAAAGCTATTGAATTGAATTGAGAGAGAAAGAGAGAGAGAAAGTGACAAAATGTGAAGAGGGACAAAGTAATGACAGGATAGTAGTGTGCATTAGACATTCAAGGAGAGAGAGAGACAAATCACAGATTCAACGGTGAACATGATGTATCTATTTATTTAGCTAACCACTATTTAGACTATGTGTTTTTGATTGACTTGATTACATGGATTTACTACATCAATGTATGTCTTTTCAGGCTGCCATGTTTTGTCCTTTCTGTGGCCAACATCTGGGGACAGTTCAAGTGTCTGTGGCTCCTGTGGCAAACATGTACAGTTTTTGGCAGAAGTTGAACACAACAGTAAGTTCACTTTTTGTATTGTATCTGTTTCAAATGCAAGAAATAAGGATTCAACACACTACTCTGTTTAGAATGCTAATTGGCAGATGCATACACTAGTTATCAGCATGAAGGACACATTTTTTCATTGTCTGTTTATGTGAAATATGTAGAAGCCATCATTAAATTGTAGACCAACGCATGATTAAATACACAAAACAGCTTATATTATACATTCATAATTGTGTATTAGTTATATCTTTATAAAGAACATTATACATTTAGAATCAGATTTTGAGACAGTGAGCCATGACATGTTTTCTTCTTTTTCTCCTTGTGTTTTTGAACTATAGAAGTTGCAATCATCCTCCCAGCATGAAAGTATTCGTCATCTTTTGCAGCTGTTGATATTTTTTGTTAAATTATTATCACGTTAACCAACAGTTGCCACGTTATCATAAAGATATACAGTATAAGATAATGTAATTGTCACGTAAATCAAGCTGCAAAATCCATAAGCAGCTCCTATATTTACAGTACAGTATTGAACATAAGACAGATTTGCGAACATCATTACCTGCATTGTCGAACTTGAGGAATTTCCTGTCCTGTGGACCATCAAATATTCTTCTCATTCTCAGGCATTCCATTAGGAGGGTCAGGAACTCACGCTTGGGACCACCAGTGTCCACTCCATCCTCAGTTTGTCCCTCATCATCAGTAAACTTAACCTGCATCTGATGAGAGGGGTCGAATGAGGCCCCTTTGAAGCCGCGGATTGCTCCATCCCACACATTGGCTCTATTAATATTGAACCTGCTGCAAGAGGTATTTTTAATTTTGCAGAGAGTTCTGCAACAATGTCTGGCGCAGTCAGGTATTCTGTGCTGGGAAAGACAAAGTGATGTATTGTAATATTAAATGATGAAGCTATAATAAGATTTACAGTATAGAATAAAAAAATCAAGTGATAAAAGTAACATTTAATACATTTCCTCTGCAGTTTGCTCCGTTTCCTCTTCTGGCTCAGACTGGCTGTCAATAATGATAAGTGCATACACAGTTGTGTAGTTGCTGCAGTGAGAAGACAGTTGAATAATGACTTTCAAATACATAATATATGCATGACAGTCATATTTGCAAAAGGATGTCGATCCTCTTCCTGTTTTTTTAATACATTGGGTTCTAAACTGACAACAGCACTTTGTCATACTCCTGCACAATCCTTGTAAACATTTGAAATGGATGCAACAAACAATATCTGACCTTTGACAAATATTTGTGGGTGTTTTTTGTATCGTCTTCACTAAGATGTTGTGGGTGTCCTTTGGAAATGTATGAAAGTATAATTGTTTTGCTTCCTGGCAATATTACCCACTGTGATTGGAGGCTATGCAAACAACCAAATGTACAAATAAAAATACACACCAAACAACTGTGTCACGATGCAACTGTCAACATCGTTTACCTATAGAAGGTGTTCTGACCCGGGGCAGACTGGACCTCTTCCTGGAATGGGGTTGGTTCTCCATCCTACTTTTACCCAATAAATAATGATGCAGTTGATCTAATGACAGTGTCATTAGCACACAAAGGTATTTATTGATTTCATGTTCACAAATTCAAACCTACATGGTATAATTACATTTGTAATTAGTCTTACCCGATCAGACGCTGGTTGTGGGTGCCTGAGAGGTCTGATAAAGGTAAACAAAAATATATTCAAACTACTGTACTGTTAAAACATTCTGCTTCTTGTGGCACAAAATAACATGTTGACAATGTTTTATTTGACCCTGGCAAACTGTTGTCCATTCTGGGAGTGCTCTGTTCATTTGGAAAGTCCCACACCTGCATACAACACACAAATGACTGACTGAAATAAAATAAATTCACTTTAATTAAGAATAAATGCCACGATAGATCCAAACTGACCACGGTGTCAGCAAGACTGTCTCCAGATGGCAACTTTGCAAAAACCACACTGTCCTCGTCACTTGAAGAGGTTGTTCCAGTGTAACCTAAGAAAATAAAAGTGTCATGATTAATACTATACAAATAATTGTTCCCCTACGTCTGTACCTATCATCAAATGTTGGTTTGAATCCTGAATTATTGGATTGACATCAATCAGAAAGGATTCAATCGAAACACAAAATGTTTGTGAAATGTACATTATATTGTTGACCGTCTTTTTCACTCTCACATTAGGATTTAGGGCACAACAAACCAACATTGTTGTGAGAAAAAAGGTTAATTTAGAATTACAATCCTTAAGAGGGAATTTATAAGTTTGAACAGAAGGAAAGTTTGGAAGCTTTTGTTGATACTTAAATTCCATTTCTTCTGCCACTATTCATAAAAGACCATTTGACGTCATAAGTTCAACCACGAAGAGAAAGGAATGATGGGTGGAATGAATTGTGTTAAGAAATATAGACAGAACAACTGTTATGTTTACATTTGAACTATTATACAGTTTAGTGCTTTAAACAAGGGGGAATATATGTCAGAAGCACTTACAACTGTTTTCAACGGCTTCAAGAGTACAGATGTACAACGTAATTCGTTGGTAGGGCTTTCCAATGGCCTCTTTGTACATCTGTACTGTGAAAGGGGTGTCCGTTCCGGGGATATTTGTTATCACCCTCGCATCAGGGTACAACAAGACATGGGCACCATCTTCCAAGTCCTGGTTAAAGGCTTTCTGCTTTTTTATGGCAGCAGCCAACAGTTCTTCACATGCCCATTGAGGTTCACATTAAGGGGAAGTGACCTCCCTCTCAAGGTTTAAGGCAGCCATCCATCCTCCTCATTACTCCAACAGAAATCTGCAAAAAGACAATAATATGCAAATGAATAAAACATTTTTTCGGACATTATATGAGAGTGTGGTGAGCAGATTTGAATGACAGATGTATTCATAAGAAAACGTTGCATACCTTCACCAATTTCTGTTTATTTTTGGAGTTATGCCGTCCCTTTGTAAAAAAGGTCTCTCCCTCTTTTTTATTTCCCTATATTTCTGAAAGGACTCTACAGCTGAGCTTCCTGCTACAAAAAAACAGGAATAAAACATTCATTACTCTTCATTATGTTCAATAGGAGTCTCATCCTCAATCCCTTCTGAGGAACATCTTATAACACATTCAACAGTAGGTAAGCCACATAGTTTAGAGATGTATTTGTATAATAACAGAATTCGAACTTTTAAACCAAGTTTTCTATAAATACTTATTGTTTGGTAATAAAACGAACAACCTATTTACCTGCACTGGTGCTAGGCTGTGCACTTAGATGCGCACTAGTGGTGGGCATCTCCTCAGGGACTTTGTTAGCCATCTTTTAGAAATGTGATGTCTCTGCCACAGACACCACAAAAGCCATGCGAAGATGTCACGCTGGAACACACAGAATGGACAGTACATCTGTGGAGAAATAAAATGTAGGACAGCTAGGTTAAGTCAAAAAGAGTGGATATTTTTCAGCTACCTAAATATTATAATAGTATTAAAGAACGGTCTTTCAATTAACTCATCAGAAGCCAACCTCCTGTCTATCCCCCACAAACCAAGCACCGAACCTGGGGGGACAGCGCTTTCTCCATCGCTGCCCCCTCCCTCTGGAACTCACTCCCATTAAACATCAGAGACTGCACCGACCCCCCCACCTTCAAAACACACCTCTTCAGACTGTCTTTTAATGTGGGAATAATGTTGTGTTGCTGTTTTAATATTTTAATTCAACTTTTTACATTTGATTTCCTTTTTATCACCGCAATCGCATTTGCGGCTCAGTTGAGGCCCCCCGAGGTGAGGGCGTGAGACCCCACCCAGTCTGTGATCTGCGTGTAGGGAGGGGCGTCCCGGTTCTATACTATATCTATATTATGTCAAGAGTTACATTTAGGTGCACAATGGCTCTTGCAAGCTCTTTGATCAAACACGCTAACGCTAGCTACGTAAATATGACGCTCTATGTATAAAAACAAAACAAAACTTACCTTCTTATATCTTTCTCCACTTAAATGAACTTTCTTTCCTCTTGTTCGTTCTCTCTATGTCTGGTCATACATCAATCTGTTCCACGTAGCGCGCCCCCTAGAGGCCTGAAGCACTTCCGGAATGTTTTTTTTTTGTAACTGTTTTCGGTTGTATGTGCTTTTGACTTTGCATATCGTTTTTGTATTTGCAGCGTTTTTGTTGCGTTTGTTTTCAGGGTTTGTCTGTTGTAGGTTTAGCTTGCATCATTTCTGTAAATGCAGCGTTTTTCTGTTGTATGTGTTTTCAGGGTTTGTTGGTTTTTCATTTCATTATTTGCAGGTGTTTCCTGCTTATGTGTGTGTTTTTGGCCGTTGTTTAGCGTTTGCACCTGCCGGCCACCGTAACAAACGCTACGAGACGGAATTCCCTCCTAATTCTGCCCTACGCTCCCAAAAGGGGAGGGGCCTGAGAGGACAGCTAAATGCACAGCAGTCCATTTTCACCAGGCCACAACAAGAGCAAGGCTGCTACCAGAGCATCTTATCGGGTCAGTCACGTTCTTGCGAAACACATGAAGTCTTTCAAAGACGGCGAAGTTGTGAAAGAAGCATTCATGGAGGCTGCCCGCGCTTTTGGGGGACAGTAAAAATAACAGTAGCATTTCAACAGGTTTTTGATATAATACAAACTCAAGTTAGATACCGTTATTAATCAGCTGTAAGTTTTAGTTTGTTTGAACTTATTCATTATAATTATTGTACAAAATGGTATAAGAATGCAAACATTAAGATCTGTTCTGTTTAAATTGATTATAGTCTATTATCAATTCAGGTTAAGAAACTAGTGTTGCTTGCATCCTATTTTAAAGGCATTTTTTTATACTCTACTAAAATGCATAAAAAAGGGTTTGATTCTATTAATTTTGTCTTTTTTATTGCACTGTTGCAGCAGATTCCTGTGTAGCTTCAGATCTGAGTTGTCTTATTAGTAAGCCTAATTTATACTTTTGTAGCAACACTATTTTTATATAATGGCAAAGAAAGGGTTCAGAGTATTTTCTTTTTTCCCTGTGTCATATGTGGCAGCACTGTTCAATGTTTCTTGAAAACATTACCCACTGTGGTGACGTGTGAATAAACTCCAACTCTGTATCAACAACACTGTTGTGTAACTTCAGTTAAATACTTGTATGTGTGTAGATTAGAAAGAGGTAAGATAAAGGATCTGCAGTATTTTATGAAGTATTCATCGTACAAAGGTCAGTTTTACAAGTAGAAGTGTGTATTTACCTGGTAGTAGGCTGTCAGTAATGGCTACGCCTCTCTATTTGGACTGGTAGATCTCGGCAGACTGGCAACTTTAAAAGTAGCTCTCGGTTCAAAAAAGGTTGGGCACCCCTGCTCTACAATGACGTCAATGGAACGTTTTGGATTTTATTGTGTCACCTTTGACATTTTTTTGCGGTTAATTGTCCTGCTTATAATTAAAAGGAATATAACTTGAATAAATGTAAAAAAAAACAACTATTTATTCAACCGTTTTTTATGCCCCATTTAGTGTATATATAAGCAGTAAAAAAAAGTTTAAGAAATCGTTTATAACATAATTTGTGTAGTTAAGTGTACTCCAATCATCCATTATTATTTAAAAGTTGTTGATAAGGTGAAGTCTCGCAGTGCAGTATTTGCCACTTACTGCAGAGTTTGTTGTTGCAGGCATTGGGGCAGTCACCACAGGAGGGTCCTGATTTGTAGGGGCGAGCGTACTGGAAGTTTCCGCTGTAATGTAGGCCAAAGCATCAAATATTAAACTTTACAGCAATAGACACTCACACTCAGCCCAAACATGTCATGAATATGGTCTGAGCAGGCAAAGCACTTTGAGTTATTATTTAATGACTACTCAGGATGTGTAGAAAGACAAATCAGATGCAAATTGCAGTTTTACTTCTAATTACTGCAAAGCATCACTGTGCTTTTTTCGTACCTCTAATTAATTATACTGATGAAGTTTTCTATATCATTAGTATTAAAATAGCACGAAAAGAAAGCAACCATAGTCTAAAATGTAAAAAAGGATAGCACTTTTATCAGAGAAGAAAAATAATGTTAAAGATTGATACTTTTTTGAAAGCTTTTTCTTTCTTTTTTCTTCCAAATATATTTAATAATCATCATGGGACTTGATCTTGGTTCCTTTTAACTCAATGGACTCATACATCAATATTCATATAAATGTTATTTTTAAGTGAGAAAGTATGCTGGACTTTCCATTTCAAAAGGAAGGGAAGACATGTTTTACTCACGGTGGGCAGTATTGGCAGACGTAGAAGTACTTGTACTGAGGGTTGGGACAGTACGCCACACCACAGCCAACCTTGTTGGACCTGTACCAAACAACCTGTGCAGAGATAAGAGTGAAATCAAATCATCAGAAAGTCATCATAATGATTGATACTGTTTTTATAGTCTCTTTGGGATACTGAGTATGTTTGAAAATCACAAAAGACTTGGAAATCTCACTTTTTGTAATATGTGACCTTTAAATATTTTCAAAAGTGTTGGCTTCTTTGTTTGCAAGTTAGTCAGAGTGCTCCACAAACTGAGATATAATTGTACCTGTGTGTAATGTCCGACCACTCGTCCGTTGGTAGATCCCACTCCGTAGCGCCAGTTCTGCACCTCGTCGTACCAGTCCTGGATAGCGTTGCTCCAGGGCTCCTGGGAGCAGGACATGTACAGGTTCTCTCCACAGCCGCTAGCTAAAGGTTGAAGAGGAGGAGAGAGACACTTTAGTCTTGTTAAAAACCATCATAAATGTACGCTCAACTCTTGATCGCACATTAAAAGGGAATCGTCGTCTAAAGTCAGGAAATTGAGTTGAACCCTCACCAACCCTTTCTCTCATTCTAAGGACATATGGCCGCTTTATGTGCTGCTCTGCCTCGTCTATTACCCCCTCCTCTATTGTTAATGTAGTTCTTTGATAGCGAAATATCATATTTGGAGTAGTTAAAATATTACATGATTGGGTTGAGAGCCAACGCTGTGGCTTTTAAATTAATCTCATCTATAATTATACTCTTATTTAATATTAGGCACTCATTTTGTCCACATCTGGTATGACATATGCGGAATACAACTTTTTCGATTAAAAATGTATATAATACATTACAAAAATTGTTCCATTATACAAAAATCACAACTTCATAAAACCAATAATAAAAAAGTCTTATGTTTGTTCCCCTCAGATCTAAAATGAATGTACTTTGTGTTCAAAAACTGTAATTTTTTCAAGCAATATCTAAGTTTCACAAGGGTGGCATATTTAACGTAATTATTCACTAAGGACTAGTCCGATCATCGCCAATATAATAATATTTCTTCTACAGCTTATGATACAACCTGGTTGAGTAACACTGTAGTTCTCATCTACCTATTTGTTTGTGAAATGACAGTGTGTCTGACTTTTTAGTAAAGTACGTTTTTTGTTAGTTTTTTTAAAACATGGGGACTTATATAATGCACTTACAGCTGATCACTCTGGTGCTGTCAGGGCTGTGGTTCATGGAGCAGGTGTTGGCTCATTTCTGAGCGTTGGCTGCAGCCTCGCTGCTCCAGCTCTGTGGCCTACTGCCAGCAACATGTTGCTGGCAGTAGGCCGAACATTTCTTCTCAGATCATTGTGCTTTTTCACAATGTCACTCGGGTTGAGTGTGGACAACTTGGTGGGTGGTCCTGCAGGGTCTTACAAAAAAAACAAGATTTTGTGAAGTGTGATATGTATGAGGATTATACTAAATCATATTAAAATAATGTATTAATAATAAATACAAAAACTCACCCCCCTTCAAATATGGTTTTCAGAGAGGAAAGAAGAAATATTGTTTAGTTTTTATCTGGGGCCCGGCAGCTGAGAGCTTGTCCCCTAACACAGTGTTATGGGGAATGGAAACTCAGCTGTGTGTTAACAAGGTGGATGGACAGAACGCTGAAACAGGGTTATTCACTCCAGTTTTGCAGCGTCCCGCCTCCATTCAAAGGCATACGAGAGGTAAATCTAACATCCCAGGAGGAGATGGGTTTCCTCTCGGCAGAGATTCAGGCCCTGGTGCAAAAACAGGCGGTGTCTGTCGTGCACCCTCAGCAGAGGAAAAGGGTCTTTATTCAATGTACTTCCTGGTTCTCAAGAAGACAGGGGAATTCAGACCTATTCTAGATCTCCGCAAGCCTGAATCGGCACATTGCCTGCAGAAAATTCCGCATGTTAACTATAAAACAATTACTGGGGCTAGTGCAGCAGTGATGGTTCACCACCATCGACCTGAAAGACGCGTACTTTCATGTAGAAATTGCTCCAGAGCACAGAAAGTATCTGCGTTTTGCTTTCCAGGGGATAGCCTATGAGTACAACAGATTACTGTTTGGCTGCTCCCTATCCCCACGCACGTTCAGCAAATGTGTGGCCACAGCGCTCCAGCCGCTGCGCACCCCATGGCATGAGAGTTTTTCTTTTATCTGGACGACCTCATAGTAATGGCCAGGTACAGGGAACGTGCAAATGTTTTGCACAGCCCAATTGATCCTACACCTAACCAAGTTGGGCTTTTGCGATCAATTGGAAGAAGAGCACCCCATACCTCACCAACAGGCGTTGTATTTGGGAGTGGTGCTCGGTGGCAGGCGCGCTGCGCGCCACCTTATCAGAGAGCAGACGCACGTCCATGCTTCGGAGGCGGTTCGCAGGCTGCGACAGTGGGCAACAGTGACAGCTTTGACTATCATGTCCATGGCGGCTGCTCACGTTGTGGTCCCGCTCGGGTTACTTGCATATATATATTTATATATATATATATATGCCAGGCGAGTGGGTGCTTCACCCGGAGGTGGTGAAGCAGCACTGGGTCCAGTTCGGGAGAGCGGAAGTGGATCTCTTCGCCAGCCGGCGCAACAGCCACTGTGCCCTGTGGTTCTCCATGGCTCAGGGCGACGATCCGCCCTTGGGGGTGGACGCGTTCGCACACGAGCCATGGCCAAGAAGCTGCTCTACGCCTTTCCACCGCTGCGTTTCATTCTCCCTCTCCTGGGGAGAGTGAGGCGAGAACGTCTGTCAGTCATCCTAGTGGCTCCGGATCGTGTCGGGGCGCCGTGGTACTCAGAGATGACACAGATGAAGGTGGGCCAGCCTGGGCGGTTCCCCAGTTCTGGGGGGCGATGTCTCAAGAGGCAGGTGCAATCGGGGCGTTACCCACTCTGGGCCGTCCTCTCCAGGTTTGGCTCCTGAGAGGGACAGGCTGAGACAGGGTGGATTGTCTGACAGAGTTATTCAGTCTATCCAGGCAGCTAGAGCGGGATCCACCACAGCCTGTTACAGGCCAAGGTGGCTGGGATTCCTGCGATGGTGTAAGGAGCGGAGAATAGAGCCCCTATCTTGTGAGTCTGGCTCTATTTTGTCCTACTTACAGTTACTGGTGGACAGAGGGCTTGCTCATTCCACAGTGAAAGTGTATGCAGCAGCCATCTCGTCCTGCCATGAGGGCATTTGACGGCAGGTCAGCCTTTAGTCAGCCACTGATGTCGCGGTTTTTACAGGGAGTCAGGAGGCTGCGCCCAGTAGTGCACGCCTCCGCCCCGCAGTGGGACATGCCGTTGGTGCTCGAGGCTTTGGTCACAGAACCATTTGAGCCTCTGGAGCTCTCCTCCCTGAAAGCACTGTCGTAGCCAAGAGAGTGTCCGATTTAACCGCTCTATCGGTGCACCTGAGTTGCTTGTTGATCCGGGGGGACCAGAGCGGGGCGACACTCAGGCCGAACCCCTCCTTTGTGCCAAGAGCCTAAGGAGTGCGTTCAGGTCGAGGGCTATTCAGTTAGGGGGCTTTAGTCTTCCACCCCATAGTGGGGCCAGGGAAGCTAAATTGCACCTCCTCTGCTCGGTGCGTGCGCTAGCATGTTATGTGGAGCGCACGGCTGCCCTTAGACGCACTGAACAGCTGTTTGTGTGCTTTGGGGGCAGGGTGACCGGGAAAGCTCTGTCCAAGAAACGCCTGGCAGGCTGGCTCTGCGAGTGCATTGCACATGCCTACCGACAGGCGGGGAGAGCCTGCCCCGTGGGGGTCCGTGCACACTCTACACGGGCTGTGGCTGTGTCAACAGCCTTATTCAACGGTGTGAGTATAGAGGACATATGCACGGCGGTGTCTTGGTCAACGCCAGGCCCCTTCATAAAGTTTTATCTCTTGGACATGTCTGGCTCTTTCTCATCGTCTGTGCTTGTTGGGGCAACACAGGACTGGTGAGGAGGGGGGGGCTGTGGGTCAGTGGGAATCTGACCCCTTCCCCGTGCGTAATGCGCTTACGTTTTTCCAGGCCCCCTGGAGGGTCCCGGGGACGTAGTGCGCGCTGGGCCCATACAGGGCTGGACACACTATAGTCCACACACACTCTGCACGGGGACAGTGTCTGAGTGTGGGGGACATGGGGTACTTGCGCTCTCCCCGTGCTCCTTAGAGACTCGGGAGAGGTGGGGCACAGTGAGCCCATACGGGGCTGGGGACTCTCTCCGTCTGCCTATAGGCGGGGGGAGAGCCCTCAGCACACTTTTCGCGAGGTAAGCGCGTCGGAGTGTGCTCTGTCAGCCGCGGCCCAGACTTCTCCGCGGTCACAACCGAGGTAAAGGAGGGTGCGGTGCAGCGGCTGCTAACCAGAAAGCCGGTCAGGGGCAGTGGGATGGAACGGTGTTGTTGGACGACAGCACGTGTATACATCGGGTCTCCGCCCACTGTACCCATAGAGTCCATTAGAGGGCGGAGCCTGTGAGAGATATAACGAGGGGTTACGTATGGTAACCCTTGTTATATAAGCACAGGTGGAGCCCTCTACTTGGGGCACTGTCTGTCCTATGCCGCTCGCTGAAGAGAGGTGTAGGATGACAGTCAGGAGGCGAGGCCTCCTTTTATACGGTGAGATGCACGTGTATTCAGGTAGGCCCGCTACATTTATAGAAGTCTCAGTGGATGAATGCTTGCATGATATGATCAAGGGGTAGTACCCATAGAGTCCAGTAGAGGGCTCCACCTGTGCTTGTATAACAAGGGTTACCATACGTAACCCCTCGTTATGAGCAGAGGGTGTGCAATTTACAAAAGTAAAATGCTAACTAAATTTGAAGTATTGATAAGAAATACAAAGATTTTTCACTCGTGTCCTTGACAGCTTATGATCTTTTTAATTTGAAAGGCCTGTGTGTTTTTTAAATCTTCCAGTCTCTTCTTGTGCATCAAGGGATGACCTCACGTTGGCCTTCACCATAATCTCTACACAAATATCCAAAAGGAACAACTAGCTGCTATTGCACAACTTCTATTTTATAGTCTGATTTATGTTATTTTATTTTTAGCACAGTCTTTAAATCATTTTGGTCATTTTGCACATGTTTGCAGAGTTTTGCAGACTGTTGAATCGGAAAAAAATGTCTTCTTTAAATCAATAACTTTTGTTTAATTAAATCTGAAAAAACGGTTAAAGGCAATAAAACTGTGGTTTATAAATTGATGGAGAATTCCCACAAGGGATTTATGTAACCAAATCAAAATTGTATTTATATTGACATTATCATACTTCATGCCTTTTTTGCTGAAAAATTCCTTCATTAGGTTTTGAATGTGACCCTTCAGTACATAGTGTTAATCTGTTACATAACGTTATTTTGCGAAGACCTCTGAGATTATACAATTATCAAAGCTTTGTGTCCTCGCAGGTTATTGACTTTGCAGTGACCTTAAATTGTGACCTGTAATGGCATCATGTGGCATCATATTTACATATGATAGGACTAGAGCCGATTTGTATGAAAGTTGGTTGGAGTGTAACCAAGTGCATTATTTACATAAGTACAATTATTTACTTAAGTACAATATCGAGGTACTTGATACTACTTTGTACTTTATCTGAGTATTTGCTTTTCATGCCATTTTCTCCCCACTCCACACCACAACCTATAACAGGAAAATTATGTATTTTTTACTTTCATACAATTATTTGACTGTTATCAGTACTTTTAAAATCAAGATTTTACATAAAAATGAACTCGAAAGTATTCTTTTCCTTTATTTCATTATCTAAACATGCCAAACAGGCCAGTGTCGGCTTCTGAAATGCGAGGATTTACTATTTTCTTTGTTGTTATCTTTAATAATTTAAATAAATGTTTAATTTCTTGTGGACAAAACCACATAGTTTTCACCCATGGGCTTTAAGTACTTGTGATGATATTTCCCCCTATTCATATACATATATATATTCTTTTTTAAACGAAAATTACAGTTTTTGAAAAACAGACGATGCCAACAACAAAAAACTTGAATTTCCTTTGGTAAAAGTGTTCTCTGGGCTCTGGGCAAATATTAAGACACTTTCAAAATTGATGAAACGTTTGGCTATAAACTATTATTTTCCAATCATTCTGTCTGCTCTATATCTATGGCACATTGGAGAACATTTTATTTATTTTTTATTATTAGAGGGGGAAAAAACAGTAGTCCAATGTGCAAAAAGACTAAAAGTAGGCTATGATTTAAAAAATCGCTGTAATTTAGATCAAATCAAGTATGTGATATCTATGAACATATATCACATTTAATATCAAAGATATTAAACATTCTCTTTTTTGCAATTGAAAAAAGGTCGATTTCACTTAAAAAAATGAATTCCAAGTTGTTCTGTAGATGCTTGTCCAAAGGTTGCATCATTTATCCTTTTCATACTAAATATAGTCTTCGGACACGAACGGGTTAACCCATTAGGTACATTCAGCGCCATATCTATATGGAGCCGTATAATAGAATCTAGAATATAATTATATCCATACGGCGCTGGGTACAGTGTGTAGTGTACAGTGTGTTGTTCTGCTCCCCTCCTGCGATGAACACTTGTAGGTACAACACCCACTGCGCATGCGCATAGCCTGTATCTGTTTCCAGACATCATCATCATCACACAGGTTGAGCTGCACATCCTCGAGGATCTGCTTCCTCTATTTTCTGCTTCTTTTTTTTGCCTCCGCTGCCGCTTCTGCTGCTGCGGAGCGAAAACTACAGCACGGAGGGAGTAGAAGCCATAAGATGAAGAAACGATACGTGGACGCGAGCAGGCTACGGAAAATGAAAAAGCTGAAAATAACGGAGAAGCTTTCTGAAAGGTAGCGTCGCCTGGCGGAGGATGATGCTGCTGCTTTTGTTGTGGTGTTCCGTCGTCTTTGTGTAAATTTCAGCCGTCGTCATCCAGCTCACCTGTCTGCCTCGCATCACTTCATCCCGTGTCTCACATTTTATATGTCTCAGTGTGCAGCTTTAACACGTTCCGTTAGGATTTCACTGCGCGCACACACACACGAGCGTACAAAATGTTGCGCGAGTTACTTCACCCGACATTGTTTACGGAAAGACAGAAATCAGCAGCTGTGCAAGTTAACGTCGGCCTGCTTCCACTCAGGCATGTTACATCTGCTGTATCTGTCTCCTTGCGCACACAATTAGGCCGAATTACTGCACAATTAATGCTCTGTTTTATTCACTGTATTTTGCTACTAGGCTTAAAAGAAGCACAGGTCGTTTTGCACATCATTTGTAAGCGTCTAGACAGAGTACAGACAAGAAAGACTGCCTCAGGAGAAGAACCACTTGTTTTAAGTGTGCATTGTTTCACATGAGCAAGGCAATAATAAAATAATCACTTCAATAGCTTACACTGTATTTCAAAATATATACACTGTTTATATTTGATTGAATTTGTAATCACATTTACAATTTTGCTTCTTTATTGGGGAATTTTATGTTTTTATACATATTTTTTGTTATATTTGGCAGCTTTGATAAAATACAAATTAATTAAATACTCTTTTCTTAATAGCACAAGATATATTTGAACTTATTTGATGAATTTAACATGCAGTAAACGCTCAATTTCGTTCTCTAGTTAGTTAGTTCCTACAAATTAAATATTGCTTTTTTGAGGTGAAATTAAAACACACTATTTTAAGTAACCTATAAGGGTAATTAAAACTTGTGTGAAGAATTAAAGCTCTTTACTCTTTCAGATAAAATATTACTTTTTATTGTTGCATATTTAGCTTTTTCCTCTTATTATAAAATACATGTTAGATAATTTCAAGTACATTTGTTAACAGTGACAATAAAAGGGAGGGTTTTAACTCATGTGCAGGAGGAAACTGGTGCTCCTTCTCTCCTCCAGATGAAATATTGCCATGGTAACCAAACAAAGAGGGGGTGATGTGATGTGCAGAACAAAGGAGGAAAGCAAAGCTCCTGTTATGCTCGTGGTCGCCCGACGAAACGAATGAGGGAGCAGTCATTGTTCTGTGGTGCCTCTACTTAAAAAGGACGGACTGCAGTTTTAAGACGCAGCTGCTCAATTATAGGTTCAGCAACGAGGATCCCATTTCCTGCTTTGTTTTGGATTCTGTGTGCCTTCAACGCTTTGGCTGAAGAGGCTTCGCTGTGTCTGAAATATCTCAGTCTAGATAGAATACACATTTGTTATTCATTCTTCCAGAGTATGTTCATCCCATAATGATGTTTTATGTATACAGTGTACTAGATCTACTAGTCAATTAGTTGGGATCTATTAAATTAATTACCAACCTTTTGATATTTGTTGGGTTTTGAATAATTGAAAAATAAACAATAAATAATATGCAAACTAAATATCTTTGAATTCTGACTTTTGAGGATGTTATCTTGGACTTTAGGAAACACTAATCAAAGTTTTTTATAGTATAAGGTTACTAATTAGTGAGAAAAGTAATCATCAGACTAATTAACAATGAAAACATTTTTGACTTTATGATCTGTGTATTTGCAGTGCGTACACCTTCGTGAAGTTTATGATGATGTGGATGCTGGTGCTGCTGGCCAGATTTCATCCTGGAGTTCAGACTGGAGTACCTGTGGCCCTGCTGGCTCTTCTTTGGGAGCGTTTACACCACGTTCCACTGCACGGGCTGGTGAGCACCCTCCTGAGGGATTTATACTGTGTGCCCAGATAACGATAATCCAACATAATGTTTCCAGTGCATTTGACTGAAATTAACGTGTTTTCTTCTTTCTTTGTCTGCAGGCTATTTGTGTTGTTTGTCTGTGCTGCCTTCACTCTGGACATCTTTTGTTTAATTTTTGTTCCTTTGCACTGGCTGTTCTTGTGGCAAGCACTTATGTGTTATTCAATTACATATGGCACACAGGTGAGACATTTGGACACGTGGAAATATTGTTTGTTTTGTTGTTAAGTGTCCCACACATATAACAAAAATATAACCTTATTATATCAATAATAAATATCTATGCAGCGTTTACCATTAACAAATCCTAAAAAAAGGCATATTATTGTATCTGATAAAGCATTTTATAGTGTGTAAATACCAATTTGAGTGAATTAGCTCTGATTTGTATTTGAACACCCCCATCACATCTGATTATTTGATATTCCTCTGCAGAGAAAGGCATCTGCATATCCACGGTGTCCCTGTGGATTCTGCTCGTCTACACAGAGCGTCACTCCGACTAAAGGACCTTAAAGCCTCTCATGCAAACCTGTCTCATCTTTTTGCTGCACACTGGTATGTTCATTCGACACAAATCTCCCTTTCTGCCTTTATAAGAATATCCAGAATTTATTCCTTACATTCAATGAATTGAGCTGCAATGAACTGCATTAGTATTCAACTTTGATGAATTCTCTGTGTGATATAATGAGTCAAGCTGGATGTTTGTGCACGAAAGTGTAAAAGACTAGATTCACATGTATGCTGCCAAGTAACAAATGAAAGACATTGGGTGTGTTCTGCTTGCCAATATGTGATATCTCTTTTAAATGTTGCACTCATATTCCCACTGTGTTGTTTCCCCCCTTGGTTCCAGCATTGGGTATCCTGTGGTGTATCTGGGGTTTGATGCCACGTGCTACTTCACCAACATCTTCAAGCTGCGCATTCAGAAAGCTGTGCAGAGTGAGAATGACTTCCACATGCACCTCCTGCAGCACTCGCTCCCCCCAGGCCTGCAGGTCTTCCCAAAGACGGGAACAGATGGCAGCAGCAGTGAGTCTTCTGCACACATTTCAGCACACACACATCTCTACCATTCTTACAATCCTTATTCATGACATCAGACGATCGGCACTCCAAGTATACTGCATATTCAAAATGAACGTGTGGAAAATCTACCAGTAACTGTTGTTCACAAAGTTAGGTGTTAAGTAAATGTAATAAACGTAATTTAAATGTTATGATTTCTCTGAACTTCAGGGATTTTATAGAATTGTAATAATACCATACATTAGTAATTAATAAAATCTTCAGACGTGAGAACTGATTCACTGCAAAAATGTGGGTGACGTCTAAAGAGTATGTCAAAAAATGAGGTATTTTGGGGCGGGGGCGAAGTCCATAGGGACTTGGCAACTGGAAGGTCACCAGTTCAAGTCCCAGAAAGACCAAGTGCTACCGAGGTGTCCCTGAGCAAGGCACCGTTCCCTACACGGCTCCCCGGGCGCCGTACATAATGGCAGCTCCTAACACTAGGATGGGTCAAATGCAGAGGAACCGTTTCGTTACATAGTACCTGTACGACGTAATGACAATAAGTTGAATCTTCAATCTTCTTCTTCTTCTTCAATTTTGTACGCAATGTAATTTCTCCCCTGGTACAGATCCTTGCAAAAAATCCCAAATATTATAATTTTCTCAAATATTGTGAGTCATATCGCAATTGGAATGTCATTACATTTACTTGGATTGCAGTTCATATTTGTAATATCTTAATCCAACAATCAGAACGTTCTCCTCTGTGTTCCCACACTTCAGTGAGAGTCATGAAATTGCATGTATTTTTCTTTCTGCCTGTATTTGCAGGCTCTAAATGGAAGACAAAGCCTGAGTCCACTCAGTATCAGTGTCAGAACGGCGCTGTGCTGGCCACTGACGAGGCTCACACCGTGGACTGGCCTCCAGATCCGCAGCCGAGGAGAGAGCGCCAGAGAAGGGAGCGCCGGAGGGGAAGTCCGCTGAATCAAACCGGCGGCCATTACCATCCAAACCTGGTGAGTCCAGAGATCTGCTTCCCTGCGGGGCAGCAGGACCCGAATCCTCCACAACCCCGGAAAATCTACCTCAAGATGAGCCAGGAAGCAAAGCTACACGGGCGGCTAAAAGCTCCTCGCCAAAAGCCAGCAGAGGCAGCACAACACTCCCTCCCCCCCGCAGGGAGGACGGAGAAGAAGCAGAGATCCAGCTTCGAAGACGGTCAGCCCCAACCGGGACGTCCCAGAGAAGAAGCAATCACCACGCTGAGCAGATGAACAAGTACGCCATCAGTACCTTCAGCATGGGATTGTGAAATCGTAGCTTTTATCCTGAAACTCTTCCTGTGTTTTCCTCCCAGGCTGGAGCAGGATCTGAGGAGGCTGCGGGCCGAGCTGCAGCTGAGCCGGCAGAGCGAGCAGGAGCTGCGCAGCCACGTCTGCAACCTGACCAACAGTGAGCGCAGCCTGAGGCCAGAGGTGTCCCTGCTCAGACAGTCCAACATGCTGCTCCAGAGCAAGTGAGTCATCCTGCAGATCCTCAGCTCTTTGGCTCCTCCTGTGGGCTGCTCAACACATGACATCAGGCTATAATAAACCCTAAGACAGGGATGATGAATGCATGCAGAAACACTGTGTGTATCTTTGTGAAAAGCAGAACCGTTTGTGGGCTGATGTTTTAATCCTCACACAGATTGATGTTTCTCTTTTCAAACGAATTAATATCTTATCAAGTCATATTTTATTTTGAAGGATTGTGGCTCACAATTCTCATCCATAAATGAATGATACTCACATTTTACTGAAGTCTTTCATGAGATATTCAATTCATGAGAATATAAAATTGGTATTAAGATGTTTAATTTATATAGTTGGTGGGGCCCTTAAATGAGTGCATTTCTCAATTGTACACAGTAGCATACATGTGTCTCAGTTTAATCTGGAACAACACATTGCTTTCTCTGTGCTTTAAGAACATGACGTTGTTACAATCGTCCATCCAATCACAGATGAGTTATCTACACATTCCCCACATCTAACCCTCATCCACAGCCAGAGGCTCTAAATCTGGTCTGAGATGAGCACTTTATGCAAAGCTCTGATCAGCAGCAACGCTTCTGATAAGACATGCTACAGTTTTTAAAGCAAGGTGCTCTCCAGCAACTACAGGGATTCACTTTGTTTCTAAAACACTGTGAAGTTCAATCTCAAACGAACCCACTTCTTTCGGTCTTTCACATTATGCAAAGTAAGATTAACGCTTTTCCTTCAGGGTTCTGTGCCTGTCTAAAACCAAGCAGAGGGACAAACAGAGCAGCGCCATGCTGGAGAAAAAGACGAGAGCAGAGACGGAGGCCAGACTCTCCGTGGAGAAACAGTTGGCTGAGCTTCAGGCTCAGAGACTGGAGGAAGCAAACAACACAGCACGGAGTCTCAACAATAGGTAAATCACACTTCAAACTCCTCGCTAAGGAAGTGGCTTTGTGCCTGCAAAGTAGAGCTGCACCTGTATGCTTCTGAGTATAACTAAATGCTGCAGTGAGTGTACGGCCAAACCTTTGAAGAAATAGTTTGACTTATGCTTATTCGCTGTCTTGCCAGAGTTAGATAAGGAGATTGATTCAATGCTCATGTTTGTGTGTTCAGTGAGAAGCTGAAGTGTAGCTTAGTATATCAGCATATATTAGCATAGTATATTTGAAACAGGGGAAATAGCTAGGCTCTGTCTAAAGGTAGGAAACTCTGCCTACAAGCAGGTCTATAGCCCGCTAACCAACACATTAGGTCTCATTTCTCATGTTACACGAAAAAGAAGAGTGAAAAAACACCACTTGGGGTTTGGGAGGAGCTACAGTATATGCCACACTTTTTTTTGGAAAGCACAGGGTTTGACTTAGTCCCAATATTTGTTTTGTTCGTTTTAGACATTTTTAGGATGCTAGTTGGTGAACTGTATAACCTTAAGACAGATTTACGCTAGATGTTTCCACTTGCTTCAGGCTTTGTGCTAAGCTAAGCTAACTTAAACATTAGTCTTATATTGAAGCTCCAGATATGAGAGTCGTATCAATCTTCTTGGCAAAGTGAATACGCTTGTTTTGATAAATATCAAACTATTCCTTTAATGCACACAGGACATTTGTACAGACTGTTAATACATGTTCTTGCATTTTATGTAACTATATTTATTGTATATGTAGATGTTTCTTTTGTATTTTTCGCAATGAAACTCCTCTCTTACCGATGAAAACTGTTATTTTCTCCATCTCCTACACCAGGCAGGAACACTGTGAAACCCAAATGTTAAGGAAAAGAGTTAAAGATCTAGAGACAGAGTACAAACAACTACAGCTGGAGTGTCAAGTTCAAAGAGAGTCGTGTGCTAGAATCTAGAGAGTGATGTTGAGGTATATTTCTACTCTATTTGGGAATGAACTTTAAGTGTCTGTGAGTCTCAAGTGGTCCAGTACTTGTCCTCAGTTTGGTCATTGCTGTTTGCATCCCGTTTTTTATGTCTGTAATTCTTTGTGTTTGTTAAATCTATCCGAATCATCCACCGGGACCCATTTAGTCATCTTTTTATTTTGGCCTGCAGTCAACCTTTTGCACTTTGTCATCATGTCAGTATGTAGTAATGTGAATGGTTGTTTTTGTCGTCTTGACTTCAGCTGTGGACGTTGTCGTACTGTGTTTGTATTTGATTTCATTTTTAGTGACATACCCTCCCTCCATGAAGCATGCTTACACCAAAGTCAGGTCTTTCATACAATGTTGCACTGCTTTAATAAACGTTTCAGGTCACTTCCCTCGAAATGTTCATTAAAAACTGGTGGCCAAACAAAGACATCTGTCAGAGTATCTCAATATCTAATTGATGGCCAATTCATTATGGAAATGGTTCGCTCTCTGAGGTGCATTGCTTTCCTAAGTTCAAAAGACACATAGTAAACTTTTAAAAAGCCAAAAATACGTAGGAGACCAAAGCATCGAATCCCTCCGTTTTCATGACACAAGGTGGATTGATGTTTTGATATTTTAAGCACGTTCTTACCGTCGGTGTGTTTCTGGTCTCAGGCTCTGGGAATGTAACCGCTGTGTGGAAGAAAGAGAACAGACATGCTGCTGTCCACTCTGTCGGCCATGCAGGAGAAGGCTCAAACATCTGGAGTACAACCTGAGCGCCGAGACTCGCATCAAACTGGACCTGTTTCTCGGCTCTGGGAGACGCTCGCCGGCAGCTGGAGATCGCTCAAGGTTCACACTCCCTTACCTCATCAATTTTAACTTCATCTTTGGATCAAAAAACAGTATTCGAAGGCAGGATTGAGATACTGTATGACCTTTGGCTGCCATTCACAAATCAGTGTAGTATCTGTTAGTCATGATAAACAGTCAAAGTATGCCATCAAAAGGTCAGGAAAAGTGTCATATTATAGTATATCAGAAAAGAAAATCATAGTTTACTGTGTCTGCAAAATTATATAAAAAAGACAAGGTTTAGTATAGTGCGCATATTAAAATAATAATAAATATTATAGTGCAGTATGTCAACAAAAACAACATTTTTTTACAATATATTATGCCATAAGAAAAGTTTTTATTATTATTTTTATGCTTAAGATATTTACTATAAAAGTATATATTTGTTTTATTATGAAGAAATTATAAAAAGATGGTCATCGTATAGTATGCCATATACGTGACTTATGTCGAAAAAAAGTCATAGTATAGTATGTTTAAAAAAAGTAATATTATAGTATGTTAAAAAGAAAGTCATACTCTTAAATGTCAATAAATAAGACCTGTCTGTCAGTGTTGAGCCTCATGTATTTCCTGTGTTTGTCGGACAGATAAAGTGATGAGGCAGGACCGGGAGATTAAGGAGATGAAGCAGAAGATCGCCGAGGTGATGGCCGTCAGCCCGGGGGTTTCCTACATGGCTCCTCGCCCCCCGGGTGCCGCAGTATCTCACCAAGCTACTGAGCTCTGAGCGCTACATGCTGAACCCACGAGCCCTCATGTACCAGTGCCTGAAGAAATAAAGGAAGTCGCCACTTTTGTCTGATCCTGGGGAGAGCTCACAGATTGTTAGGACAGAGCTACATGACACCATGAAGTCATCTACTTCCAGCCAGCGGTGGAAACAGGAAAAACCTCCTTAAGTCGAATGCCTTTTGCTGCACTGATGGTACCAAGTTCACATTATTTGTTTACAAGGGTTCAAGTGTTTCACTCCAAAATACTATATCTCTCTTTATGTAGAGATACAGCTAAACACTTTCTAGTTGGGGATGCATCAGAGAAAAGCACACTTCTTCAAATTCAGACCCTGTTAATTATCTAAAGTAATGATTTTGGGAAATTGAAGTTCATAATGTACTAGAAGATACATCTTGCTGCCCTGCAGAGACCCACAAACCTACTGTAGCTTTAAAACACAGATTCACACTTCAATTAATCAAAAGTATAATACATACAAGGTTTTAATATCACTTGTACAATGATACATCTGCTGGATACTACAATCAAAATAACATGGTCTAATTTTTGTTATCGTGTTTATATCCCTTTTGAGTCAAATGAATATTAGTTCATAAAGCATCCAATAAGTGTTTTCACGAATCAAAAGAGAAGCAGAGGTGTTACTAACAACATGAATAATGGCTCTGCTTTATTAAAATGTTTTAAGCCCTGACAGTGAGTCAGCGTGCACAAACCCATGAAACTCAAACTGCTTAATGGGATTCAGCCATTATTCATTTATTTCCCTGCTGTGACATGTCATAATTCAAATATTAAGATACCCTGCTGAGACATGTTCTCAGACTCAATGTGAATATAGAGAAATGATACATGACCATATTTATGTCAGTCCTTGATTGTGTTCTTGCTTTGAATCTAAAAGATAAAATAAACCTTTATTGGATTAAAAACACAAATATTAGCTCCAAACTAAATCTGAAATTTTCTCAAAGCATATTTATAATTACGAACAATTCCCACATGCTACATTCTTAAGAAGAGTATGTATAAGTATACATTTTGAAATCCCTTCAGAGTTGGCAGTTTACAGGAGTCTTTTTTGTGGAACAGGTTGAAATCTTGATGTTTCTTGAGAACCATTGTGCAGTGATGTTGATTGTTGGAGTGACCAGAAACGGATATCACAGTTTGCGGCAATTCCCTTTCTCTTTGTTTGGCAGCTCTCGACGTAAAACAATGGAAATGGTGATAGTGACTTTGTCCCTGAGTGTTAATAACAAGGAATGGTGTCGACCAAACGTGGTTCATGAATTTAATTACTGTGCCTATATACATTACTTTCAAACAGGAAAGTAAAACACAATTTAATGTGAAAGAGTAATGTGTTTTGAATTGAAGTGCTATGTACTGTTTTTTGGTAGTTCCTTTGATTTATTTTCTACTCAACAAAGTACAGAATTGAAAATACCCACGCAGCTGGAAACACTCATCTGGATGTCCGCCATTTTGGTAGCTTTTTATTTAAAGTGTCTTTCTAGGGGTGTTTTATATATCAAAAACTATTTTTTAGTCTTGCTGTACTTTTATTATACTGCTGTCATTTTGTACGGCGATGTGTTTGTCAGCATGAAATGTGTTTTTAATTCAACTGTTAATTGAGCACACATTGTGACTTTCAGTATGTACATGAATATACTTGTACAAGGGCTACAATTTCTTAACATTTTGAACAAATAGTGATGCTCTAAAGGGTAGAGATCACACCCCTGATGCATCAGGATTTCTTTTGTATAAATAATTAAACAATTGAAATGTGTGTGTCTGTGTGTTTATTATGTTATCAATATTAGCTTTTTCTGCAAGAGGAAACACATTTAAAAACACGCAGTTGAGTATAATGTCTTAAAGGGCATTTCCTGCATCAGAAAGATGTCCTTTGTCTTATAAGTTGACACCAAACAAAGACCTGAAGTGCTGATAGTGTAAATATTTATTTCAGGAAGTGAAAAAAAGGGGTAAATGCATTGCAGAAACAGCACAGTGTCCAGCATAAAGTGTACAAGATGGTTACTAACATGCCAGGCAGCTCCACACCAGTATCTCTACAGACCGTCAGAAGGCAGTCACAGCGAAGAGTAGACCGGATCATTGCCGACACTTCAATCATTATCTAAGTGCTTCCTACTGCGAAGAGGCCACGTGACATTTCCAACAGGATATAAAAGTGTCCAGCAGTGCAAAGAGATCCCCGAACAGTTAACATTTAAGGGGCCGAGAAGTGAACATCTCCATAGCATAGCTCTGCTGTCCAACAGAACAACGAAGCCCATGAAGAGAACTGAAGATTCAGGAGAAATCTAAATGTTGACAGGCCTGAAACTGACCAAACTCCTTTATTATGTCTCAAAGACAATTGAACCCAATGCATCAGTTACTTTTTAGACGTAGAAACAGCAGACATGCATTCCTCAAACATCCTTTAGACCATTTGCTTTAATGTGAAATATCTTCACATGAATTCTCCTGTGTAAATGTCCCCTAAAAACACATTTATATGACTTGAAATCGATCTTTAAGTCTGAAATGAGCTACTTGGAAAACTGAAGCTACAGTAGACATTGGACCACAGTCAGGTGACAACCCCCCCCATACACTTTTCTTTTTTTTCAATAGAAAATAATAGCGCGATTCAAAGGATGAGAGAAACGTAAAGCTTACATTCAAACCACCACCGGCCTTAGTGCTGGAAGTGAATTACAGTACACACTCAAGACAAAATAAACAAATAAATAGACTTCTTTTTCAGATCGTAGCTGTAGCTCTTCAGATTGGGTTGCGGCTGCACATTTAATTAATTTGTCCTATAATCAAATGTTTTTCAAATGAAAAGTGACGTAGCATCTGTTGCATTACGAGCTCAATGCATTCGAGTCTTCAGAAACCGATAACGGGTGGGACGCCGCCTCACTCGCTGCTCAAAGTTTAAAGAGACCAGACTTAACCATACACCATAATACACACACTTACACACTTCAGTATGCCGGGACAGAGAATTTGCTTTGTACAGACAACTATTTAACAGTTTAAGTACAAATCTTTAAAATACAATTTAATACTGACTCAAGGAAAATACTGCAGTAATCCAGTTTTATGTTGCTTACCTCCTTCGCTACTTGAGAACCGAAAGAGATAAGCCAAAAAGTGAAAACATTTGTATTTTCCTTAAAGTTGCGACTAGAATTCCCGCTGTCAGAAGAGAAGCAGATGGGCTGTTTGCTGTGGGAGGAGAGAAAAACAAGATAGAAAGCGACAACCACTCAGTGGCAGCTTTTCCCCCCCAGGAGACCCGACAGCAGACCTGCAGCCGGAGCAAGGCGTCCTCCGGTCCTCGCTAAGCTTCTGCAACTCAGAGGCGGAGCCAAAAGCTAGTCCTGTTGACGAGGAGGCTGAGAGAGCGGGGAGTCCACCGCTACGAGGACACCGTCACCGGGTTGAGGGATCCGTTCCTAGCTGTAGAACTTGGAGAAGGCTTCTTCGAGAACTGAAGGCAAGTCGTGGCTGATCGCCCTGAAACAGAGGCAGCGGGGGGGGGACAACAACATGTCAGAGGCTGCTGGGGTTATTATAGCAGAAGTGTTCAGTCTGAGGGTCGTCATGGAGGCCTCTCACCTCGCTGATGAATCCGAGCTGAACCAGCTCCCCCGACAGATCATTCACGTTCTCATCTGAACAGATAGGCAGAATGGTTTTTGTAACGACTGCATGATGCCAGTACCGTCAACTATCACATGATAGAACTCGGCCCTAATGAACGAAGCAATAACAAAGAAACTCACTTGGTAACAAATCACAGCTCAGGTGCCTGTTCAGTTTATCCTCCAGTTTTCAACAGCAAGGTCAGCTGCAAAGAGAATCAAAGAATCATTACAAAAGACATATCAAAACATAAAACACTTTCATATATGACAAAATACTAAGAAGCAGAGACAGTTATCATTTATCCACAATTAAACTCACATGGTGCTTGTTGCCCTCGTCAACAGGCTCAATATTGCACTGCATCTGGAGGACCTGTGAAGGAGAACAGTTGAATACAGGAAGTGCAGACTATGAAGTTATTATGAAAAAGTATACATGGAAATTAAGAATGAAATGCAAATTTAAAAAAACGATTCCACACTATGAGAAGCTTTTTGTTATTTCTCTAGTAATCAGCAATATGATTCGAGCAGAAATCTGACACATTGCTTACATCAAATAACAGTAATTTACTAGTTATTTCCCTTTAGGTCACAGTAGGATTTTGTAAATATGACAGATCTTACCTTCCTGGTCTCCAGCTCAGCGGGTTCAGGGGTCGGGGGTTTTCACAGAGGGGGGAACGATGGGCGACTTCACCGTCTCCTGCTGAGGCTGATGAGGACTCGGTACCCCAAACGCCGTCAGAGGATAGATCCCATTCCTGTTGCAACGAGGAAAATAAGAGACAACCTTAGGACGACTGAAAACTAGTTCATGCTGTCCAGCTGCAGGATATAAGTAAAGGCTTTGCTATCCATGGATATATGTGTATATCCAACTACAAAAGGTCCTATTTCTGGCCTAAAGCTGTTCAGCAGAACGAATCAGCTTTATTTATATCACCTATCATGCAGAGAATTGAGCACAATGACCTTTACAGAGAGCAATACACTTGTGAAGCTGACAATTGAGCGGCCCAGTCCAAGCAAGGAGGCAGAGGCAGCACGTCCCAAATATAACCCGGTGTGGGCATTTATTACAGCATGAACACAATACACACAGCCTCAATCCTGCTGCTGCTGTTCACGTGGGCACAGCCTGCAGCCACCAGGATCTCACACACACTCTCTCCCCAAACAGCTAAACCCAGAGCCTAAATGCCCAACCCAATCAACCCAACAGGACACAGGTGAGGGGGAGGAGACACCACAGAGCACCAGGTGCACACAACCAATGGCAACAGACATGGGGAAAGGGGAACACATTTCAAAATAAAATACAATAAACACTACATCAATAAATAATATAAATGTATAAACATGTGCACATATGCAAGGCCCGAAGCCATTCAGTGACAAAGTTACCTTCGTCACAACACTATTAACACAAAGAGGAAGGGACAAATGATCTACTATCTACAAATTGGAGAAGAATTTTAAAAGATTGAAACAGAAAGCTAATAACTTTAGGTTTGTATATGAAGCTCAGCGTAAGTTCAACAGGAAGACCTTCTTTACTCATTCATTTACTATGTCTATGTTATACTCTCTCTCCTCTCAATAAGTGATCGGAGGCGTCACTCCCCAGCTCAACCAATCACTTCGCTCTATTCCCACAAGCCTATCATAGCGCTCCACTAAACCTTTTAAATCTGCTCTCCCCTCTGACAGCTGTCATTTCAGGTGACTCAACGCAACCCTCCCTCACCCCCTTTTCACCTCCTGTCCCTCTGAATCCGGGGTCGAGCTAAGCCACTCCCCTTCAGACCGAACCCAACTATCCATTCACCACCGCCAGTGTCTAGACCCCAGGGGGGGGGTTTCGTCGGATCGGTTCTCCCTTCCCGAATGATACTCCTGCACAACGAGGCCTAATCGCCAAAACTCCATTACATTCATTTGTCTATTCCTGGCAATAAATATGTATTCTTTCATCAAAACCGTCTCTCCTGATTGAAATGCTGTTAGATCAGCAAAGATGATTTCTAAAGACAGTGTTCCATAATGTTTTTAGGCTAAAATGGTTCAAAGTAGAATCTCCTGAGGTGTTTCAGCGTCCTAAAAGATGAGCTTAGTGTTCAAGGAGAATCATATAACAAACAGGAGTCTGTGCCAGTAAAAAGAAGCAAGGCCATTAGTGCCTTAAAGGCCCTGACTCTGCAGAAAAGCTTTGTTCCTACCTTACATCCTCCAGGAACTTGTCCAGCTCAAGAGCAGGGAACTGAGAGAGCCTGAAGCAGAAGACACAATGTTACTCAGCAAATCAAGACAAGAAATATACACGTGTAGATATAAATAATCTATTGATTTCAGTGTGATAATATGAAGACAGCAACAACACAGGAACCCTTCTAAAGACTTCCTTCTCTCCCAAAGTTTATCTCTGTACGTCCGCACTATGTGGTTCCACTCAGACTCACTTCATCTGAACTCCATCTTTGACTTCAACAATCACCAGGTTGGGGTCCATGTTCTTTGTCATCTCTTCTAAAGCATTTTCTGGAATCATATCTGCAGGCAAACAGAGAAGAGAGCGATCAGAAGAAGCATTCACCCAAGGTATTTTTATCACGGTGGTTTTCTGTGCTGTGTTTAAGTCCTAACAAAGTCAAACAAAACAAATATCAAGTCACCATTGTTTGGAAAACAAATGACCTTTATAAGAAAACAGATCATCTTCAATTCTTATTTGTAAACTCTGTATTTGGTTTGAACAAAATGCCAATAGCTGTATATTAAAGATATGAATTGCCAGTAATCAATCAGATGATACATGTTGTGCGTGTGTGTTTGGTGTGTGTGTGTGTTTGGTGTGTGTGAGTGGTATGTGTGTGTTTGGTGTGTGTGTGTGTGTTGGTGTGTGTGCATGTGTGTGTGCATGTGTGTGAGTGGTATGTGTGTGTTTGGTGTGTGTGTGTGTGTTTGGTGTGTGTGTGTGTTTGGTGTGTGTGTGTGTTTGGTGTGTGTTCATGTGTGTAAGTGGTATGTGTGTGTTTGTGTGTGTGTGTGGTGTGTGTTGGTATGTGTGTTGGTTTGTGTGTGTGTGTATGTGTGTGTTTTGTGTGTGTGTTTGTGTGTGTTTTGGTGTTTGTGTGTGTGTTTGGTGTGTGTGCATGTGTGTGTGTGTGTGTGAGTGGTATGTGTGTGTTTGGTGTGTGTGTGTTTTGGTGTGGGTGCGTGTGTGTGAGTGGTATGTGTGTGTTTGGTGTGTTTGTGTGTGTTTGGTGTGGTATGTGTGTTGTTTGTGTTGTGTTGTGTGTGTGTCAATGTGTGTGTGCGTGTGTGTGTGTGTGTGTGTGTGAGTGGTATGTGTGTGTTTGGTGTGTGTGTGCATTTGTGTGTGTGTGTGAGTTTGGTGTGTGTGTGTGCGTGTGTGTGGTGTGTGCTTGGTGTGTGTGTGTGTGTGTGCATGTGTGTCCATGTGTGTGTGTGTGTGTGTGTGTGAGACTCACGTTGTTGGCTGACGATACAGTGAGCCGCCAGCAGCTTCAGTAATGGCACCTCGAACAGGGCCTGGTGAAACAGCAGCTCCTTAGCGGTGGGCCGCTTACTGGGGTCCACCTCCAGACACTTCTGGATAAATTCCTGGGAAATCACCGGGGGAAAATATCTTAAAGTTATAGATTTATAATCCAGACAGCCATACAGGCTCTTGATACTTGTGTATCGCTCACGCACCCGCTGCAAAAGGGTCCTCTAGCATCTGAATGGCATTGTTTATGGCTTCTTGGGACACATAAGACGAATCTCCGTTACTCTGGATTTCCAACACAGCCATCTGAAGGAGTGACCGGACAGAGAAGGGTGGTGATTTGGGAAGTGATTCATAAATAAAAACAAGTTAACAGCAGCCAATGGTCTGAGAGTGTCTTTTAAAAGGTCTGAAGGGTTAAAACAGCATTTCCAACTAATTCAGAGTCGTCGATTCGTTGGTGACGTCATCACGTGTGTTTTACCGCGCCGTTAAGTTCCAACGTTATCGGTGTTTTATCGGTACTGGAGACTTTAAAAAAGATATGTATTATTGCTACATAAGCATTATATCGCAGTCTTAGTGTCGCCAACTCGTTTCTAACATGCAAAAAGACAAACAAAAAGCGTCTATGATGTATTTTCGATCTTTCCAATCCAGACGAGAGATCTCTCAGTTTACACACGCGGCTGCTCCATGCAGCAACACACACACGGCGGGGATGGCGGAGAGAACTAAGCGCTCCAAGGTGTGGTTAAATGTCTCGATGTGGAAAATGCTCGTTGCCAAAAGTGCAATAAGAGTTCAGCATGTAAGGGCGGCAACACGAGCAATTTGTCTAAACATTTAGCAAAAGTGCTCCACATGCAGACGGAGGAATGCACCGGGTGTCTTTCTAGTAGCTCTGTAGCCCCATCCACGAGTAACGTTTCCACGTCAGGTGTTATGTATGCTAGCAGCAACACACGGAGTTAACCACATGATACAAACATGGGTTAATGATTAGAGGAAACTGAGTTATTTATTTTGTTAAAGTTTCTGCTATTCTGTTTACAGTTCTGTCATCAGATTATTTAATACGATTTGTTTCTTTTGATGTGAAATATTATTTATTTAATTTAAATAAAAAGCTATGTTAATTTTGTTCGCAATTTGTTAAGTTAATTTAATAATATATGTATTTTTGAATCAAGTATTCATCTTTATTGTCTTCATTGTTAGTTTCCACATGCCTAAAACAACCTCAAGCTAAATCTAAAAGTTGATTGCTAAATAAGAGCGTTTGAGAAATTGTGCAAGGCATAATAGTCCGAATAGTCGATTAATCGATTATCAAATGAGTCGTTTGTTGCAGCCCTAATCCTGATTTCTATTTCCGTAACTAAAGCAAAAGGCAAACTTAGCATGTCGAAAGCTGGGGTGACATTTTTGTTAAGAATAAATGGTTACATACGACAGCAGAGCATTTTCCATAAACAAAGAATGAGCCACCAACAGCTGGTTTCTTCTCACCTCTAAGGCGCACATCCCAAAGGAATAGATATCCACGGCTGTGGTGACATTGGCAACAGCTGGAAGCAGAAAACCAAACTGATCAAAATCACTCTCTGATATCTTTAAAAAGACCATTTTGAAGAAGAGTTTCTTAAAATAATAAATATCATTTTAATAATATGTGTTTTTTAGTTCAACCATTTCACAGATCCTCAGAAACGGACATATCTTTGTGAGGAGAAAAGTCAATGTGCCACATGAGCTACAAATGAAGTTACAGGTTGTCGTACACTAAGAAGAAACAGTTCTGTAATGAATGATCAAATATGTGAAAAAGGGACAAGTAGTAGGTTTTTGCACTGTATTGTATATTCATTACTAATCACCTGTTGATGTTATGAATGGTCTGTACTGCTTAAGCACAGAGATGGGAGAGATGTGCAACACATTTCCCACGCCTGGCTGCAAACCACGGTGTAACCAGACACTCTGAACAGAACTCTTTCATGAGAAACGTCTGGATCTTACCTCCATACTCCGGAGCAAAGAAGTGAAGGCTCTTCTGCTCTTCCCGACAGGTTTTCACGTGGTTGTTGATGGTGTCTGGAGCAACTGAAACGGTGGGGAAAAGCCTTAATAACAAGACAGCTAATACAAGGTACTGGTAGTAATAATAATAATAATAATAGTGAGGGCATCTGTAGTAAAACAAACGAAGAATTGGCAAGAGGGGCGTAACCCTGGCTTTACACTGTGCTGATCTTAGAGATTTAAACGACCTCTACCTGACCGATCTTGATGAGGCCGTTGTGCTGGATGAAGATGGTGTCACAGGTCAGGTTGCCGTGGATGATGGGAGGTTCACAGGAGTGCAGGTAGCTGGAGACGAGCCAACGAGTGTTAAGTCAACAAAACAACTGCTACCACAAGAAAGAACATCGCCATTGCCAAGGCAAAAAACGATATATGCGCATTTGGACAACAGCCAATGCACCATATTACAATTTATTCTTTACAACTACGTAGCTCAGAGAAAATAACGTTTCTGTTCTTCTTACCTGAGGGCAGACAGTATCTGTGTGCACCAGCGCTTCCAGGCCTGACAGACAGGAAATAGATCAAAGAACATTTAAGATAATGAAAAATGTGTAAACTGTTTGTGACTTGTCCGCATCGTTTCCCAGTAACATCATTTACAAATGTATGGGGGAGTCACAGCAACGCTTTCAAACCTTCTCATTCATGGTCTTGTGGTTTTCTTCGTCTTTTTCAAAAACTGCTTGAGACTTCCAGAGGACATGTACTCAGTGATGAAAATGACCTGCAGGCAAGTCAAAGGAATGAAAGCAGATCAACGTTAAACCCATAACACTCATTTCATATGATTTAAGAAAACTCATTTCAGATGATAACCCACCCTCGCTCTGTTCTCTTTGACGTCCGCCCAGTACTTGTGAAACTTCACAATGTTCAGATGCTCCAGCTGGATCAAATTGTCAAAAACTGCTTTGACTTTTTCCTAAAAACAAAACAGAAAACATGTCATTAGAATTTGAGTTTATACATGTCACATTTCCACAGTAACATTTAACATCTATCTTGTCAAATGTAATGTTTCAAAAAATGCCACATGAGCTCATCATGTCTTAAAATAGAGTCATTATAATGTCCTTGCCTTCTCTCTAGCAGCAGGTTGGACTAGTGGTCAAACAGACTGTCTTGTAAGGGTCAAGGTCAAAATAAATGTTGACAGCTGTGAACGAGCGTCCATTAAAAGCAGCTCTGGGTCTTGCTCTTTACTTCAGAGAAGTCCATCAGCTGTTTCATTTCTATAAAAGGGTTTATTAAAAGCTCAACAACACTGAGGGCACCATTCTCTTCCAGTCATATGCATAATGAAACACAAAAGCTGCATGTTGAAAACAGTCTTGCAACAACTTCTGTGTTTTTAATCAAAAAGCAACAACAGACTAGATCGGATGCCATTAATGGGGCGAAGCCTGCGAGCTAGTTCAGTAAACTCGAGCACCAATGATACATTAACACGTGACGCACCTCGTCCCTACAACCAACCAAACACATTCTCCTAAACATGCCGCTCTATTTAAGCTGCCAGGTCTTCCTGCCTCTGCCTCGCTAATGCCGCTGCTGCTGTGTTCACTTGCTATTGCTACGTTCATGTTGCTGCTACTCGCCTGCCCCACCACCCCCCCACATTCCACCTGTAGGCTCGGGGGTAGTTTTCTAATCATCACTCAATGTTCTTATCCAAATCGCACACGTTCCACGTTGTCCTGTAGCAGGCACCGCCGATGTCGGGGAAACAATCTTCAATTCCCCCGATAAGAATCCCACCAGACTCCTTTGCCCCTCCAACAGAGAGATGTCCTTGTCCTTTTTCCTTTTGTCATTTCAAGCGATAAAAACTCTCGATCTTCTCTCGAATTATTAATATTTTTGGACGCCCTCGGCTCGAATGACGGCAAGACGCCCCCCTGGCGGAAACGCTGGGCCCGAGCCTAGATGCCAAACTCAAACTATGTGCTGCTTAGAATAAACATATTAAGAAACACGTGAGTTGTCCGACTGAACTCAACCAAGATAAGGGTGGGTTAACAGAAACCACTTCAGACTATTGCAAAACCACCAATACAAATAAATAGATGTCAAAGAGTTTACGCAAAGAAGAACAATGTTTCTGCCTCTACTCAGCTTACAGTGTGTGTGTTGCTATGGTGCTGGCAGCAACAAGTCTGACCACTTGCCAAAGAATCTTAAAGCCATACGGGGGAAAATGAACATCAGTAAGCCGCTATATTGTTTTGAGATCACAGTGGGAAATGTAACCTCACACAAAGAAAGCACAATCATCCTAACCTTATCAAAACACTGGACTCCCCTGTCTTCTAGTTGACACAACATTGTGGACATAACTGCTTCAGACACGACTGAATACGTCCTCACAGCGCTGCACCCACCTCCTGTAGCTTGAAAATCTTCCTTTCTGAGAACATGACCTCATTCCACACCACCTCCACTCCTTCCTCAGTGTCCATGGCCAAGTAAGCATTGTCGATCCCAGGGACGTTACGCTGATTCACCTAAAAGAGGAAAACAAAATAATGCATCAGGCTCACAGGTTTTATTTTGAAAGCTAACATGTATAGGTTCAAGCTATGCTTACAGTCAGCAAAGACAGCAGTCTAAAGTGTGAAGCCGTTTTCATTGCTTTCACACAAAATGCACTCAATGACCACCAAAATCCATGCACTCCGTTCCCATCTATACTTCTCCATCTGTTGGTAATGCATATCGTATGAAGACTTTTGAAGGGGGGGGGCTTCAGTATTGACCAGTGCTTGTTAGCAATTGAGTGTAAATGTACTTTATACCTTAGTAAAATGTAAACACGAGCCCTACGCATACATGTTTGCATGTATATAGACTCCTGCATTTACTTCCTCACTTACAACATTCTCTGCAACATTTAGCTTATTGTATTTATAATGTGTATATAGTTTACTCCATCTGCATTACTTGCACATTGGTCTTGCACCATTTTAATGTACTCTGTTTCTTCTTGCACTGTGTTATTGTTTTTAGTTTTATGTCTTATATTCATGTTGCATTGTTGGAGGAGGATGGATATCTACACTGTAGCTACTGTGCATGAAAATAAAGCCTTTGAATATTTAGTAACGGTAAATGAGCCCTCTTCAGATTCATCCCATACCTCTTCTCTGCGTTTCTGCCAGCGTCCACAGGGGCTTTCCTCTAAAATCTCCGACTCATCCTCGCTCTCCTCTTCCTCGTCCTCGGTGGCAGCAGCGGCTGGAGGATGGGAGACCATGGACATCGGTGGAGACACGGTCTGACCTGCGGGAGCAGCTGACTCGGTCTTCACTTCCTGGGCTGCAGAGTCGGAGGCCTGCTTGTTATCTCCCTCTGACATCTTCTTGGTTGTTGTCAGGCCCAACAGCCAGCTGTAACACAACAAGATACACCCAAACACAACATCAGCATCATATTTAATACACACACTGACAGCTGATGAAGTAAAAAAACACACCAAGTGGCAATTACATCGCAGTGCAAAGCTAGCTTGAGGGCAATGGTGTTCACTTGGTGGGTGTAGCTGTAGCAGAGCAACAACCTTTGCAACATACGCTTAATTAGCACTCTACAGTAAATGGCATTATGAATTCCATCACAATTATAAGTAGAAGCAACACATACGTTTTAAAGACGGGAAATATACCGGTGCCAGCTCCAGTTTAGCAGACTTCCTCCGGCGCAGACCAATCCCAGCTTGTTGTTTTGTTAGCTTTGTTAGCAGAGCTAGCTTTGCGATGATGCTAGCTCCTTGTGTAACTAACTGTACACTGACAACATGTAACAACGTTCACTACCGGCGCTTTATTCACTTATATTAATATCTCTCAATGTGTCAATTGGTCGCCAGCTAGCTAGCTTTAGCAGCCCCTGACTGCTCCTCAAGACTCCGGCTAATGTGCGCTCTCAAAATTAGCCACGGCTAATGTCATTAAAACTACACAATTTTACCACAGCGCCTAACCTAGACACGTCCACTGATTAATAACATGACTACAGTTAACACACACCCGACAGGGGAAACAAAGGGAGGTTCAATCTATCATTAACTCTATATCCTCGGACAATCACGACTAACTGACTTAAGGTTAGCTTAGCAGTAAGCCAAATATGATGGCGACAACTTCCAGATGCAAACTGCACTACGAGCTCGGTCACAGTGAGGTTGCCAGATAGGGATAGACCCATCCTCCTTCTGATGTGTTAATTTATTTATATTAATATTAATAATCATAGCAACAGCATGCAATACTTTGTTGCTGGGCTTGATGTATGGCAAGCCGATTTAGCTTTTATTCATTTCTGGAGGATATCAACAAATCTATTCTTACCAGCAATAATGTTTATTTCTGATATCAAAAATAGAATTTGAACTAGTTAGAATGCAAATTCTTTATATCAGAAATTCAATTGTAACTTGTTGTAATGTGTATTCTTGATATCAAAAATGCGATTTTAACTAGTGAGATTTGCATCGTTTTTCTCATTCATTTCAATGGGAGTTGGAATATGAACTAGTTCAAATGCCAATTTCTGATATCAGTAATTCAATTGTTGATATCATAACAATTATAACTAGTTACAATTGAATTCCTGATATCAAAAAAGGATTTGGAACTAGTTGAAATTGTATTTCTGATATCAAAAATTGGCATTTCGACGAGTTGAAATTGAATTATTGATATCATAAATTGGTATTGTTAGTTCAAATGTAATTGTAACTAGTAACAATTGAATTACTGTAATCAGAAACTAGTTCAAATTCCAACTCCCATTGAAATGAATGAGAAAAACGGTGCAATCTCACTAGTTAAAATTGCATTTCTGATATCAAGAATACACATTAACTAGTTACAAATGAATTTCTGATATCAAGAATTTGCATTCTTACTAGTCTTACTATTTTACTATTTTTTGATCAACTTTTATTTGTTTTTTATTTGGATACGTAAATATTTTTTGGTAATTTTTCGAATTTCTTACTTTGAATATTCTTAATGGTTTATATTTTGTTGATTTTTCCCTTAACTTTCACTTTTCACCAAGTGAATAAAAGCTAAATCGGCTTGCCATATTGATGTGTAATTTATGCGTGTCAATGGGTGTAGGTTATGGTTTATTGGCATATAATATTGGCCTACAATTAAAAATTCAATTCGAAGAAAAATTCCTTCATCAAGAAAATGATTTTTGAACTTTTTGTGGAACGCATTGCATACAGCTCGAGGAAATGTCATTCAATATAACTTTGTAATAAGGATGTATGGAAGTCCATTCATGACGGCGAAAATGTTTTTGTGGAAATGTAATGCAACCCCTGTGAAATATGTCTAATATTAATTGCTGTGAATGTCATTGTATTTCTACACACAATAATACTGGACTGAATAGCCAGAGTGAAAATAAACATCTTGAACCATAAAGCTGGTTTCTCTCAAACCTGGCAACCCTCCTCTCTACGGCCCCCCTCTTCTTATTTGATATGAGTCTGGGTTGACAGACAGTCAGGCCAACTGAATCCTGAAATATGACGACTGGTGGGACAGGTCTGTTATAAAACACCTTGAAAAGGAAGAGTCAAGGCGTTTGTTTTGCCACTAGGTGTCAATATTACTCGAAATGCATCATGTTTGGAGTGATTATGATACAGTGCTTGTATTTTGCGTTATAATAAAATCAAGTAAACTGTTCAAATATCAGATTTGTTGCTAATTAAAAGCACAATAATTATATCATTATAGCAAATTGGTATTTCAGTACACAAATCTAGATACAGACCGAGACACAAGGCAACATCATTTTTTGATGCACAGCAATTTTGAGTTAAGTTTTGCAAGTTAAGAGTAGGCCTACTTTGCTTCCATAACATGTCTTCTTTCCAACTAGTGTAAACAATCTTCCCTTCATACACATAGTAGTGTTAATTCTACTACATGTCTCAGGTAACAAACTGTCATATGTTCAGTTTAATGTATAGATTTTTGGACAGCCGCCTTTATCAGCACATTGAAAATGTATTAGGGTAGCTCTTAAGGAGCCCCCTCCCCTCCTCTGAAGAGGCCTATATATAGGTGCAGCCATCAGCAGACGCACAACAGAGACTGTGGGTGCTGGTGGAGTGAAAGTGGTGAGTGTACATGAGCAGTGACAACCTTTTTCAGCAAAATAAGGAACTAGAAGTGATCATCAGAGTTAGGCGAGTCAGGGAGGACACAGGAAGTCTCCTTGGGCTGTTTTGCAAGTCCATGCTCTGTTACTGCCAGTAAGGAGTTTTTTTTGCACTTTATAAACTGATTTTGAAAAACAGGAACTGGCCTTTACTGACAAGATGGGGGACGAGCAACATAGAGAGCCTGTTGTTGAAGATATACAGGTGAAAGTGCTTTATGAAACTGAAGCATCATCTGGGCCCGATGAGAAAGCTGCCTACCCTCCTGCTGGAACTAACTCCATCTACTCTGCCATTCTGAGCCGAAACGAGGCTGTCAAGGATGCCACGCGACTAAAGACCTTTTTGGAACTTCGAGACAAATACGTGAAGAAGAAGGTGGTGTTTGAAGACCCCCTGTTTCCTGCAAATGACTCCTCACTCTTTTACAGTCACAAACCCACCATGAAGATTGAGTGGAAACGTCCCTCGGTGAGTGCCAGACTTTCTTTGACATGTTGGGAGAGATGTTTTCTAAATCCCTGTGTATCTCACCACTTCCACCACAACACATGGCTGGGGTGTCATGTGGCTGCATGCTGTGGATGCATAGCTCTGTGTTGTCACCTTCTACTATCTCAGACAGCTGACTGTCACACAGTGCTGGGAAACATAGTGGGAACTCAATGCTGGCTTTAGAGTTTCATATTTTTCTGATTGCGCTAGCAGCAGCTTTATTCATTCTGCCAAAAGTCCTGCAGTGACTGTCAGGGATACTTTTATATGTACACTTGAACAGTCACATCAACCAGTCAAATCTATCTACAGTATATAGCAGATTTAATACATTTTCAACAAAAGTAAACTAAACATCGGACAATAAAATGAGGCAATGATAGATGAATGAGACAACACAAACCATACCTTAATTAAAAGCCAGGCTAAAAAGACATGTCTTAAGTCTTCTATAAAAAATGTCCATGGTACCTAACACACTGACACAGATCCAAACAGTAACGTGAATGCAGACACAACAAATGACCCAAACCTTAACATAATACTTAACACTTATGTTGCTTGATTGCTTAGTGATTAGTGATGAATGGTTAGTGATGTAAGTTGTTTTGCCTTACCGTTTAAATTGGTGATACATGATTCCCTTCAGGGGGTCAACAGTAGAGCACGCTCTAAATTCGGAAACATGAGGTGGCATTTTCACAGCCTTAGTTATGGTGAATCGTTTGATGAAGGAAAGAGTCCCTGCTGGAAACCCCCCTGATTAGAATTTGATTTCTTATCTCTATCCTTTTTGTTATTATCTTGTTTTATAACCCATGAAAACTGAGCAATCTGAGTTTAAAAGTGCTAAACGTTTTTTTTTTTGCTCAAGTTTTGTGTGTTTTTTGGTTAATCAAAAGTAGTTTCAAAAGCTCTTTAGGTAAAATTATTCCCATTTTCTTGGCTTGGGATGCCTCTTCATAAATTGTGTGCATGAGAGGGTGATTTATTCTCTAAATGCTTCATTTGAAAATGTCTAGAGGCCTAATTCCTATCCAACATTACACAAGAAATAACGGCATTGAATATAAGCATAATTTGTGTAGCATAAATATGTTTTCCTTCCTATTCTTTTCATCATTTGGTGACAATCAACAGGATACCATGTAATCTTCCAACATAAAATCAAACAATGTGCTCTAAAAAATGTCTAACCGGTAGTATTTATACTGAAGGCAAATGTTGAGTCAACCATAAAATCCCTAATTGGTGTCTAAAAATAAGGTGCATGATGAATCATTTCCAGTAGGACCACAAGCAGTCAGACACTTGGTTTTGACAGGTTTGTATTTATGATCTGAGGGCACCTATGCACGCAGCACAACGTTATCACTAAAGAGGTCGCGACCAGCAGACCTCCAGCAGCTGCTTCCTCCTGAATATGCAGCGAATGTAGCCAGAGAAATTTCTCCAACTCACTCTCAGTTTCAGGGTCCTCATGTTGTCGATCATTGCAAATACAGTTTTTGAATCGTTGCAGGGTTTAATATTTCACCTGATAGGCCCAGAGTGAATTGCCTACAGAAGGGGGGTGCAAAATCAGGCAGCAAAAACACTAGCTCTGCCTGATTTAGAAGTACTCCTTTAATTACATTACATTATTACATTACATTGCATTTAGCTGACGCTTTTATCCAAAGCGACTTACAATAAGTTTGAATGTTTTACCTGATTTAACACCTCAAAATCAATAAAGAATTTGCAACATTTTGGTTTGAATCAGGATCTCAATCTATCCAAGTATAATAAAAAAAGCAATCTGACCTGTCATCCGACAGATTTCAATGAATATAACATATGTAAAGTATTATACCCAGCTTTGTTAAAGGCATAATTAATTAGTTTAAACTATATGTTCTATTATTACCATAAAGAGTGCATGTTATATTGCAAGACATCTTAATTTGGATATCAGACTAAAAACACACCAAAACATTTATATTTTCCCATGTTATAAATATTTGATATATATATATATAGGCTTTTGAAATGCATGACAAAAAAAGTCTGGTGCTCAGAAATACTTTTTAACACTTGCTTTTCTTTTCCATGACAGGAAATATGTGACGACCCCCAGTTCATTGTAGATGGAGCCAACAGGACAGACATCTGTCAAGGAACATTAGGTAACTCTTAAACAATTTCTGCTTTCAAACAAGTGGAAGAAAAGCACTTGATTTAGTCTTTCGATACATAAAATAGCCCATCACACTGATCTCCCAGCCTCTCTATGGGGCACACACATAGGCATTTGTTTTCCTTAGTTAAGCCTACATGTTCACAGAAACAAGAATTGAAGAGCAAGAGCATGGAGAAGGGAGAAAGAAAGAACACATTCACCTCATTTTGGATGGATGTTTAAGAAAAAGTTGTGCAAAAAGTAAATTGTGTCTCAGCCATACACTTCTGTCCAAGCAAAAGCAGTGCCGTTTTTTAGGAAAATACAATATCTATAAAATATACATTAGAGCTTAAACATGGGTGGAAACTGGAGCCTGGAACACTGCAGCTGAAATGACCATGAGATTGAGCCCTAATATAGTCACCTCACTGATGTTGCTTTATGAAGTTGTACCTTAGGATCAAGTGTTTCTGCAGCTCTTAAATCTTCTGTTGACAGGTGACTGCTGGCTGCTCGCTGCCATCGCCTGCCTCACTGTGAACGAGAAGCTGCTGTACAGAGTGATCCCTCCCGACCAGAGCTTCACCGAAAACTACGCCGGCATCTTCCATTTCCAGGTTTTAAATGGATTTTTGACCCACTGTGTAAAAAGCAACTGAGCTTTCATCTTCTGACAGAAGATAAAGTTTAAATAATTTTTAAAAAATCAACACATTTAATCGAGGGACAAGACATGATGTGCAAAACATAAACTTATTACACTGAATTATTTTGCATAGGTTTATTTTGTGTTTTGAGGTTAAACATCAAAACTAGGGCTGTCAAACGATTACAATTTTTAATCAGATTAATCACAGCTTAAAAAATAATGAATCATGATTAATCACCATTCGAACTATGTCCAAAATATGCCATTTATTTATGCATATTGTTGTGGGAATGGAAAGATAAATGAAAGAAGGCGGATATATCCATTTAACATACAGTATCTATGTTTATTATAACATTTTTCTGCGTGTCAAAATGAAAGACAACCCACACACCTATCAATCATCAAACCGTGGGGTCTTAATTCATTACGTGTTGATTTCTATCAACGGGGGAGTACTTCAGGAAAGTCGACGGGGGGGCGGCGGCTAGTGGAGTACTTCTTGACCACAGAGTGTGAACGTTGTGATCAGCTGTTTTAGCGCAGTTCTCCAGTGAAGGGGGGGGGGTCTCCCTCCGCAGCCGGTTGGCGTAGTTTTGGCACAATTCCGTTGTACAGACCGACGTTAACAGCAGCCCTGTCTGTGCACACGGAGACCGACTCTGTCGTCCGGTGATCTAACCGCCTTCTGGAAAAGCCTCACAAGTACATCGGTACGCAAATGCGCTTTGTGACACAAGTGACGGTACGCATTTCAGAGAGATTACGCACATAACCTGCGTACCAGTTATGTGCACTACAGCAAAAGTATTCTCCGTCGGGACTTCCTGCAACAACACCACGCCGTTATCAAAGATGTTCTATTGAGAAGACGATCACTACGTGACAAAAGTTTTCAAAACCGTGGCTACTGAAATCAATCGTACTAACTGCTGTCTGTGCAATTTACTCCGCGCGAATTGGCAGACTTTATTTTGCTTCCTTTAACATCATTTTTCATGGTGGGGCTAAGCCATTTCTTGGTATGGGTGTAGCCTACCCCAGCCATACCCTGGCGCTGCCACTGGTGGCACGTATGGGGCGGGCCATTCTGCACATGCGTTAAATGCGTTAAATATTTTAACGCAATTAATTCAAAAAATTAATTACCGCCGTTAACGCGATAATTTTGACAGCACTAATCAAAACACAATATAGCTTGAATGCTAATTTCCTTCATGGTCCTTCATTTTAAGACAATAAAAACACAGCAGATAATAAAATATAAAAGTGAAAGTTAAGGGAAAAATCAACAAAATATAAACCATTAAGAAATTCAAAGTAAGAAAATTCGAAAAATTACCAAAAAATATTTACATATTCAAATAAAAAACAAATAAAAGTTGATCAAATTAGATTACAATTGACAGCAGTAACATGACCCAAACGTTGTTTTAATGAAGTGTTTTACATGTTACATCTCACACGAAAAGTCTTTTTTCAAATTATAAAGAAAAAAAGTATCTGATAAAAACACATTTTAGTTTACCTTTGCTAAGAGATGGCGGGAGATCGATCGGTCTCTTCATTGACTTTGTCTTTAATCTGTTCGTATTTTTACTCAGTTGTGGCGTTATGGAGAATGGGTTGATGTGGTGGTGGACGACCGTATCCCCACCTGCAACAACCAACTGGTCTTCACCAAATCTTTCAGGAAGAATGAGTTCTGGAGTGCTCTTCTGGAAAAAGCTTATGCCAAGTGAGTGAGGTCTATCAGCTTTCCCTGCAAAGTGAAAGAGTCGTGCAGCTTCAACGTTATATCTTAATAATGTTAATTCTTTCAGTAGAGTTCAGGCTTTCTTTTCAGAAAATCTGTCAAACAAGATGATCGACACGTGAAACCACTGACCTCTCACCCTGCTGTCATGATATTTCTTCAACCAATTTCAAACGAAACAAGTTTTAAGATAACAATTTCACCTAAATGTCCCATTAAGGTCTATACCTTTCTGCAGAGTAGCGAAAGTTACTTGGCACATCACTGCTCTGTCCTCATGTTTCCCAAATTTGCTGCAGAATCTGTAAAAAAATCCATAGCTCGTAAAGAACGGATGTACAGTGAGCAGAATGATTCATCTCTTTCTCTCAGGTTGCACGGATCGTATGAAGCCCTTAAAGGGGGCAACACTTTGGAGGCCATGGAGGATTTCACCGGAGGGGTTACAGAGTTCTTTGAGTTGTCTGAAGCCCCCAAAGAGCTCTACAGCATCATGAGGAAGGCGCTGGACAGGGGCTCGCTGATGGGCTGCTCCATAGATGTGAGTGGTGAGGAAAGTATGGGAAATAAGTGCACAGGAAACAGAGAAACGTCACTCAAACATTACAGGGACACCAAAGCAAGATGCAACAACACAACTGACTGAATTATGAAAATCAATTTAGTGGTTTTCCTTTTCCTGTAGTGTGTCATATAGGTTTTTTCCCCCGTCACCGCAATTGGACACATTTGTTTATTTCCATAACACAGTGACATCACCATGTAACACTCGCACTTCCATTGGCTAGCGCTCCAACACATTATACGTGATAGTTTAAGAGGTGGGACATCGCCAAGCAGTTTGACCAATCACAACAGAGCCGGCCAGGTAACAAATCAGAGTTGGAGGAACCCTATAAAAAAACCGCAGATACATTTATTTTCCTAAATTAGCATTTATATAAGAGTGCTTTCCCAAATTATGAGAGGCTAAAAGTAAGTTCAAAGTAATTGTATCAATATTTTTAAACTTTGAAATCAAATCCAGAATAAATTACTGTATTAAAATGATGTTTTAACAGCATGTACTTATCCATGCCCAATGTGTTTTGTTCTCTGACTTGTGTATCTTTCAGATTACTTCAGCCGCTGAGATGGAGTCTCGGACTGAACAGGGTCTGGTTAAAGGTCACGCTTACTCCATCATAGGCTTGGCAGAGGTGAAGTATAATGTCCACCCACTATGCTGTGAATGCAGATTAGATATTCTTGGTATGAAGGCCTTGAAAATGGTGCTGACCGATAAAATGTTGTTTCTAGTGTGACGAGGTGGCAAAAGACACCAAGATTCGCCTGATTCGCTTACGCAATCCCTGGGGCTGGGTGCTGTGGAAAGGACCATGGAGTGCAAAGTGAGATTATATCTGGGACATGGGAACCTTTATTTAACTGTCATATAACATCTGCAAATTATTATTTGCAAATTATTCTGATGTATTATGGCTTATTCTTGTTGTGTATTATTTGTTTTCCAGTTCAAAGGAATGGTCGACCATTTCCACGGCTGACAAGGAAAACCTAAAAAAACAAACTGTAGAGGAGAGTGAGTTCTGGTGAGTAAAACCACAGTTTTTCACATTCAAGCCTTTTGCCATTTATTGAATGTAATCTTAATAAACAGACGCACACACATTTCTTGCAAGTTATAAAAATGTATATTAAAATCATAACTTTACACTGTACAAATGAATGGATGATATTAGTTATTTCCATTAGCATGTTAGCATCTAGCTCAAATCAAATCTGAACCCTCAGCACTTTACTTTTTTCAAGCCACACTGGCTGTAAAGACAAGAAAAAGGGCAAAGTTGTTTCCATTTTCATCATATCGAACTCTAAAGAACTTCCTTTTGTCTGTTCGACCTCTAGGATGGCTTTTGATGAATTCAAGAAGAACTTCACAAAGCTGGAGATGTGTAACCTGACTCCCGACACCTTGCAGTGTGAGGAGAGGACCAGTTGGACAGTGTCGGTCAACGAGGGTCGCTGGGTGCGTGGCAGCTCTGCGGGCGGCTGCAGGAACAACAAAAGTAGGCCTCGATATTTCCTAAATATTCCTCTTAAAGCCAATAAATTGGGCGTTGGGGTTGGTTTAAAAAAAATAATGGCCGCCTCACTACACATGTTCCCGCTTATTACATGGCCACATGCTAAATAATCAAACAACTTGACTGCTAATAATATTTTAAATAATTGTATTGACTTCAAAATTATCGTACTGCTAAAAACTAACGGCTGGAACTGCGGGAACAACTTAAAATGAACGGCAGCACTGATTGAAGTTTTCTGTAACTTTCCAAGTCAGTTCACAGTTTCTCTTCCAATAAAACGCCCTAAACAGTGCACAGCCCATACCGTGTTCCAGGGGCGCACCAGGCAACTGCTTGGGGCCCCGGACCAGAAGGGGGCCCCCAAAGAAGGTAGATTAAGAAGGTCCACAGCAACGACAACATGAAACACCCTTTAATTAACTGCAACGACATGTATGGTAACCCCCCTCAAGGGGTCCCCATGCATAGCGCGCCGTCTGATTTGACCAATCAGAATCGAGTATTCAACCAAGCAGTGTAAGAAAGATCAATATCTTTCCCACCTGGATCTTGTGTTGTCACTGCTGTCATGTGACCACTTGTAATGTACTATATACTTGTTGTGTTTCACAGACACTTTCTGGACGAACCCTCAGTATCGGTTGCAGCTGTCCGAGGAGGACGACGACCCCGAGGACCACCAGGCGGCCTGCACCGTGGTCGTGGCTCTGATGCAGAAAGGTCGCAGGATGCAGCGCCACCAAGGGGCCAAGTTCTTCACCATCGGATTTTCCATCTACGAGGTACTGATCACAAAAAAACAAAACCACTGGATAAGCTGATGTGCATTCAGTGGGTTCAATATCTTCTTCTTTGTCTCTGCAGGTGCCCAAGGAGGTACGGCCATCCTGAAAGAGGACATTAGTTTGATGATGTCCACAGTATCGGCCTGCATTTCCAGAGATTTGAGTCTGTGTGTGTTTGGGTTAGCAGTTCATGTTGTAGATAAGCAGTATATAGCTCTTGTGAAACCTTAATTTACACGTGACATCACAAGCCAAACTACTTTATAATAATTTACAACACTGACTTAAAGTCACTTATTTATTTGATTATTTAACCGTTTAGTCAACAAAAAGTTATAAAATAGTGAAAAGGCCCTTCCTATTTCCCAGAGGCCAGTAAAACTGTTTGTTTCATCCATTGTAGTTCTTAATTTCAATTGAATGTATCCTTTATTGAGCTTGGAATTATTAATGTAATAGTTTTGACTACTTGTCTTATTTGAGGAGTTTATTCCCATGTTAAGTACACATGACAGGATAATTTACAACAGTGACTTAAAGTCACTTATTTATTTGAATCAAAAAGTTATAAAATAGTGAAAATGCCCTTCCTATTTCCCAGAGGCCAGTCAAACTGCTTGTTTCATCCATTGTAGTTCTTAATTTTAATTGAATGTATCCTTTATTGAGCTAGGAATTATTAATTTAATGTATTTCATACTTTCAATCCTAAATGTAGGATCTTTGATCTTTTTTGTCTCAATTCCCTCTTTTTGAATGAGTCATTTCCATTAATACCTTTTCTGTTTTGACTGCTTTTCTTATTTGATGAGTTTATTCCCATCCCACCATCTGATATATCTCCTTCCATAGATGCTTGGACAGAATCAACACCTGCAGAAGGACTTCTTCCTGTACAACGCCTCCAAAGCTAAATGTAAGACCTACATTAACCTGCGGGAGGTGACGGAGCGCATCCATCTTCCTCCAGGAGAGTACGTCATCGTCCCCACCACCTTTGAAGCCCATCAGGAGGGGGAGTTCATCCTCAGGGTCTTCTCTGAGAAGCAGAACATTACAGAGTAAGTATCACTCAGGGTGGCATATTTTGGGGATTGTTGACAATTGCAAATATAAGGTCTTCAAGTGAAAGGTTATTCAAGAACTAAAAGGAATCCTAATGTGTTTGTTTTTCCTCACAGGGAGGAGGATAGCGTCGGGTCTGACAAAACACAGGTTCGCAAAGTGTTTGAATAAGTAGTGGGGTTGTAGATATGTCTTGATAATTCTGACAGTGATGATTTCAGTGGTGAAAAGGTTAAAAACAAAAGAGTAGGTTCACCTTTTATGTCTAATTATTCTGACATGGTTTTAATCACTTCTAGGGGCAAGTTTATATGTTGGGATCGATATTTTATTAGAGGACACGGTATATAAAATATGTTTGAAGCGGATACTTTCTTTTGCAACACACTTGAATTTGTTTTAACTTTATAAGAAATTTAAATTGAAAGAGAATCAGACGTAAAACAAATTGAGGATAGGATAGAGATGATATTTTATTATTAAGTTATTAAGAAAAATACACAAGCTCCCATCTTCCCAAAGGAAAATTCATTCCCAAATAAACCATCCTTTCCTACTTCCTTTTTAAAAGGTTAAATATATGAAACAAAATAGTGCAGTGCAGAGGCCTACTGCCCGAAACACACTGAAATATCAGTTTGCATTTCATATTTTCTAAACCCCAACTGTGTAACACCTATTTAATCAACATTGTTTTCTCAAACTATTTGTCATCTCCCAATTCACACTCTACTCATTGTTTTCCCCCAAAAATAACTGTCATGATAAGTGTTTTCCTCCTTTTCATCTCATGTCATCCTTCTGTCCTTCCTTGTGTCATTGGTCATCAGCAAGACACGAAAAAGAAGGAGAAGGTAATGCATGCATGTGTCAAAAAGCATTGCTAGATGGCTCTTTACACTCTGCTTTATCCACTGCTTCACTCCTGCTACTCTCCATTATGTCTGCTTTTTAAATGTTGGTAGTTTGTGCCATTATCGCATATATAGAATAAAACCAGTGAAATAACTACAAATAACTCTCTCTTTTCTGTTTCTGTTTGTCTTTTTTTAACCCGTCTCTCCTCTTACTAACTAATGCCGTTGCCCATGCCAGCCTATTGTATTTGTGTCAGACAGAGCAAAAGCCAACAAAGAAATTGAGCATGACGGCATTCGGGGAGAGAAGAAGAAGATGCCAAAGGTAATCTCCTGATTTTAGGACACAAACGTTGACACTGCAGACACACAGCTAAGAGCTGGTAGTTACTCATTTCTGGAGACTGACGGCTCTGACATGCGCTCTCGACCAGGTCAAATAACTCCTTTGAGAATTAAACAATTGAGAGTGGGGCCAATGATCTCAAGTGTCTCCGCTGCACCTGTTTCCCTGTGAGGCCTCTGGTTAGATGGGCCGAGTTGTTTATGTTTATCCAATGGTTGGCTTTCCTGTGCTACGGGAAAGCATCCAGAGCTTAAACGTCATAAATGTAGTGTTATATATAGAGCAACAGGCACACATTAAACACATCGTTTTAATGGTTCAAGATGACCGAGAACTCAAAAGTTATCGACAGGAAAAGTAGTCCTATTTGTGCAATATTTATTTAAGAATCTGGTCAAATCATCTCTGAAAAACGACATTGCTCTACTGTTCTGTTATATTCAGTAATGTCCTTATCAAGCACATGGAGGTAGTCAAACCTTTTCCAATTTACACCAAAACCACCTCACAGTAACTACATATTTGGGCCAAAAATCATGTTCATTCTTATTTTGCAAAAGACATTCCTATTTGACTGTCAATATCCACGAATGAATGTTACATTTACGGTGTAAGTTTTATTACTTATTGGTAGTATGTGTCTTTAGTTTTTTGTCTTTTGTCTTTACTGTTGTGTTATGATTGTTTGCTGTTCTGTCATGAGCAAACTAAAGCAGATTGAATATGGCGATGAAATATTGGACCCTTATCATCTTAAGAAATGTACTTCTTTCTCACGTGGCCCTCAGATAAATTTACTCCAAGAAGAGGAGGAGACTGAGGAGGAAAAACAGTTCAGAGCCATTTACCAAAAGATTTCTGGAGATGTGAGTAGGCTACAGGAAGGATAAAACAGGCAAGACTTGGATTTACAATTTATATTTATATTAATACATGAAACAAATTGTCCCTCCCTCTATCAGGACATGCAGATCTGCGCCAACGAACTCAAGACGGTCATGAAGAACGTGCTCTCTAAACGTGAATACACTGGTTGATTTGAGTAATTATTGTGCATTGTGTGTCATGTGATCAATCATACCGAGCCTTCCTTTCTACAGATAATGACATAAAGACAGAGGGTTTCAGCCTTGAGACATGTCGGAGTATGATCGCCTTGATGGATGTATCCTTTCAGCTGAAACCACCAGAGTTTATACAGAGCTCACAACAGATAAGGTGGTTATTTATTGGTTTGAACTCCTCTAGTTATTGAACATCCTCAGTTACTCCGTTGAGCCACCCAGTGGTAGAACATGGAAACTATGTTACCTGTATACTCTAGTATAGCAAAGTCAAAAAAGTCATTTATCAGTAGTAAAAATGTAAAAATGTTATCCTTATTTATAATATTGACATTCACATCTGTAAATCAGCATTCATTGTCATCTATTTTCTGTAGGCCTATTCATTCTGTTTAAACACAACATTTCTGCACAGTTACATTTCAAGATGATAGGCTTCACTAATACACTGAACAAAAATATAAATGCAACACTTTTGTTTTTGCTCCCATTTTTCATGAGATGAACTTAAAGATCTAAAACATTTTCTATATACACAAAATAACCATTTCTCTCAAATATTGTTCACAAATCTGAAAAAATCTGTGATAGTGAGCACTTCTCCTTTGCCGAAATAATCCATCCCACCTCACAGGTGTGTGTTATATCAAGATGCTGATTAGACAGCGTGACGACCCCTCCCCCCTTCTGCCTGGCTGTGCTCCCTGCCTTGCTGTCCTCTGGCAGGTACTGGGAGTGTCGTCCTGTTTGTGCCCGCCCATCTATAGGCGGAGCCTCAAGAAGGTATGAAGGTTGCCCAGCTGCAAGGTTCAGTCTCTGATTCTGATCCTGGCATGCTGCAGCAACCTCAGCCTACAGCCTGTATTAGGTTTGATGCACCCTCCAACATGCTACAACACCCTTCCACACACCCACACACTGCTCACACTACTGACAGTCTGATTCTTACGTACACTATTCATCAGAGGTGTTTTTCTTTAACCTGTTAAATAAACAGATATTTGGCATTTAACTCTGTGTGGCCTCCCTATTTGTTCCAGCCTTAAGGCAGGTTGTAACAAGTGGGGGCATGTCCGGGATAATTTCCGGTGCTGGATAAAGGACATGGTGACCTATTTCAGTCGGGGAGTGTTCACACAGCTTGTTGGTTGACTCTGAGTTTTGTAGGGGAAAATAGGTCAGGTTGGTCGGTCTTACTCACAGTTGTGTTTCTGTCCAAGGCAAGCTATGTTTTCCGGTATTGCTGTTTTGTGTTAAAGGCTGTCAACTGTTTGGAACCCTTATTCCTGTTAGGTATAAGCAATGAGAGACACAAGCTGTCTCCATTGAACCTTTTTTTGTTTTTGTTTGTTATTTTTGTGTAGTAAGTGGCTAGAGCATTTGCTCGGGTGCACTCCATGACTGCCTAGGTGATTTTCAATTGCTGAGAATTAACCGGGTCACTGGGCTTTTGTGCTTAAAATCCTCCCACAATTCTACACGAAGACTAGGGTTGAGTGAGTCAGTAAGCATTTGGTTGGTAATGTTTCAGTTGTGGTTCCAGTCCTGTCTGGACTTGGGGTTGGACTATCATTTAAAGAACAGAAAGAGCTTCTAATGCTACACTTGGAACGTGATGTGGAGGTTGAAAAGTTGAGACAAAATGCCCGTCTTCAGGAAGCGGAGATGGCTCAAGTTCAGGTTAGACAAAAACTAGACTTGGAGCGCTATAGATTGGAGCTGATGAGTGAAGGTACGTTTCCATCTGAGACCAGGAGCTGCAGAGACTGTAGGTCAGGTTCCTGTAAATCAAGCATTTGATATTGCTGTTAGTTTGAGGATAGTTCCGAGGTTCAACGAAAAGGACCCAGACATTTTCTTTGTGTTATTTGAGCGTCTAGCAGAGGCACGAGACTGGTCTGATGTTGAGCGCACCCTTCTGCTTCAGTGTGTCTTCACTGGAAAGGCCCAGGAGGCTTTCGCTGCCATGACTGCTGAAGACAGTAGCAATTACCAGTTGGTGAAAGCTGCTGTACTTCGGGCATTTGAGTTAGTACCTGAAGCATATCGACAGCGCTTTAGGGTACTCAGAAAAGAGAAGCAGTCACACATGGAGTTTGCTCGTGATATAACCACTAGTTTGAACCGTTGGTGTGTTTCCTCACAAGTAAAAACTCTGGAAGATCTGCAGGAGCTTATCTTGCTTGAGCAATTCAAAAGTAGGGGTGGCCACAATAAAAGGCCACTCTAAAATGTTCAGTTTTATCCCACAGCACAATGCCACAGATGTCGCAAGTTTTGAGGGAGCGTGCAATTGGCATGCTGACAGCAGGAATGTCCACCAGAGCTGTTGCCCATGAATTGAATGTTCATTTCTCTACCATAAGGCGTCTCCAAAGGCGTTTCAGAGAATTTGGCAGTACATCCAACCGGCCTCACAACCGCAGACCACGTGTAACCACACCAGCCCAGGACCTCCACATCCAGCATGTTCACCTCCAAGATCGTCTGATACCAGCCACTCGGACAGCTGCTGCAACAATCGGTTTGCATAACCAAAGAATTTCTGCACAAACTGTCAGAAACCGTCTCAGGGAAGCTCATCTGCATGCTCGTCGTCCTCATCGGGGTCTCGACCTGACTCCGGTTCGTCGTCGTAACCGACTTGAGTGGGCAAATGCTCACATTCGATGGCGTCTGGCACATTGGAGGTGTTCTCTTCACGGATGAATCCCGGTTTTCACTGTTCAGGGCAGATGGCAGACAGCTTGTGTGGCGTCGTGTGGGTCAGCGGTTTTCTGATGTCAATGTTGTGAATCGAGTGGCCCATGGTGGTGGTGGGGTTATGGTATGGGCAGGCGTATGTTATGGACGACGAACACAGGTGCATTTTATTGATGGCATTGTGAATGCACAGAGATACCGTGACGAGATCCTGAGGCTCGTTGTTGTGCCATTCATCCACGACCATCACCTCATGTTGCAGCATGATAATGCACGGCCCCATGTTGCAAGGATCTGTACACAATTCCTGGAGGCTGAAAACATCTCAGTTCTTGCATGGCCAGCATACTCACCGGACATGTCACCCATTGAGCATGTTTGGGATGCTCTGGATCGGCGTATACGACAGCGTGTTCCAGTTCCTGCCAATATCCAGCAACTTCGCACAGCCATTGAAGAGGAGTGGACCAACATTCCACAGGCCACAATCAACAACCTGATCAACTCCATGCGAAGGAGATGTGTTGCACTGCGTGAGGCAAATGGTGGTCACACCAGATACTGACTGGTTTTCGGACCCCCCGAATAAAGCAAAACTGCACGTTTCAGAGTGGCCTTTTATTGTGGCCAGCCTAAGGCACACCTGTGCAATAATCATGCTGTCTAATCAGCATCTTGATATGCCACACCTGTGAGGTGGGATGGATTATCTCGGCAAAGGAGAAGTGCTCACTATCACAGATTTTTTCAGATTTGTGAACAATATTTGAGAGAAATGGTTATTTCGTGTATATAGAAAATGTTTTAGATCTTTGAGTTCATCTCATGAAAAATGGGAGCAAAAACAAAAGTGTTGCATTTATATTTTTGTTCAGTGTATTATTATGCTGATACTAGAATTAGATTCCAATGGTATCCGTGCAGGATTGTTTCTGACTTAAATTAACAACTTTTCCAGAGTTTTCAAAGCAATTCAGATGTTTTATCCAACTAAATATTCTGCTTAAATCCATATCTTTTGGCAGTCAACAAACGGTTTGCTTTTCTGCTTGCAACACACAGGGAGGCAGGCATGTGCCTGTTTTTAAAAGGGTGGTATATTCAAATTGAGGATATGGTTTATTGGCCAATATTAATTTGATATGTTAAATAGAATGTTGAGTGTAAAAAAGTACACATTTTTCAGCCCTATTTTATCTCTACGATCTAAAATCGTCCTTACTGGCTCCGTTGGTTTTCCATAACCGACCTCTCAGACTGATGGTACGGGGAAGCTGAACCTGCAGGAGTTCAAACACTTGTGGAAAAAGATCAAGGAGTGGCAGGTGGGACCGTTTTCATCTTTCTATATCTTCTGCTTATTTTAAAACAAACAACTGACTGTCCGTCTCCTCGTGTGTCTCCAGCTGATCTTCAGAAAATACGATAAAGACAAATCTTGCTCCATCAGCAGTTTTGAGATGAGGAACGCTGTTAATGATGCAGGTGAGCACAGCTTCAAAAAAGAAATACTTTTTAACAATAAACAAATATATTTATTTAAGTATTAACGACTCACACAACATGTCTCTATGCATGTGTAAAGAACTGCATTACCAACGGCAACTCACAAGATATCCCAGTTCACTTCATTTCATGTCAGTTCATGGATTTCATCTTTAAAAAAAAATGTTTCCATTTTATTTAGGATTGTGATTCCGCTTTTCTATTATAAGCCTCAACAATGATTTAATATTCATTGGGTTGAAATGTGTACTAAACATCCAAGAAACCATAAGGATAATTGCAAAAAAAATTCATTGAAAATTACAGATTTTATACTACCTTATATTTAGGCTTTGAAAATAAAAAATATATAACTACATCAATTGTGGTCTCTAAATTAAAATGTAAATGTTGTAGACTACACTTCACATCTTTCAATTCATAACCAAATAAAATTGCAAGGATTCTATTTTTCTCAGCTTTTGTCAGAAATAACATCCCATAATTGCCGTTCTATTGAAACTGGAAATAAACTATTGACTAATCTGAGTCTCCCTCCCATGCAGGGTTCCACCTGAACAAACAGCTGTATGACATCATAGCCATGCGCTACGCAGACGAACACCTCAACATCGACTTCGACAGTTACATCTGCTGCTTCGTGAGACTAGAGGGCATGTTCAGTAAGTAACACCACACTCTCACCTTTTATTTATTTCCTCTGAATATTTTACACTTTTAAACAATCTTTGCAGGGCCACATTTCAATTGTGTAAGCCGGTACCTGCAGCCTTGCATCACTGTACGTTGTATTAAGAGTTAAATAAAGACTGACTTGTTGTGTCTTGTGCAGGAGCTTTTGACGCCTTTGACAAAGACGGAGATGGAGTAATAAAGCTCAATGTCCTGGAGGTAAGCCTGTTTTAGTGTTCTTTACAACATGATATTCTGTGTCTTTTGCCATTTATACTGCATGTCGTCGCATACAGTTCTACAAACATGTTCTTTGAGAGTCATGCATGTGAGGAAGGGCATTCATGTTTTAAAAGCAAGAGAGTAATAGTTTGAAGAGCTTTTAAACATATCAGTCTTTGATTGCACTATGAGGTACTTCTATGTTGGATTAGATAACACTTACAAGGGTTTCTAAAATTGTCCATTTATTAAGAACAAACATTTGAGACTACTCCTCACTATAAGGCGCAAATGAAATACGACAACATACTACATCCACAAAATCGACCATGCATTACAAAACAGTTGAATGTGTCTTGGTTTTTTAGTCGCAATGTGTACTGTGAGTAACTATCAAAATGAAACCCCATTTAAGCTCATATGTTTCTCTGTCTCTCTTTCCAGTGGCTTCAGCTGACCATGTATTCTTAAGTGACCTTCCTGAGCGCTGACACGTGGAGCTGATGTTCAATCATGACTTCATCTCTTCTTGCACATACTTTTTGCGACATCTAAATCTTTGTCACAAATCAGATGTTTGATTGCGAATCATATCCGGATTTGATGTGGAATTTAGATTTCTCAGATCATTCAAACTATGATGGTGTCAATGTTATGTCACTTATGTTAAGGTGTCAGCATCAATCATGTTTTGGGCGGTGACGTTAAGAATATTTGGTTTGTAAACTTTGGGTATCATGTTTGAATATGAGAACCAAAATGTAACCTTTTGTATGACAGCATTTTTAGAGAATATATAATGTTTTCAAAAAAGCAGAGGAACATTTTCTAGATTATATATTTGTTTTTGCTGTACACATACAGTAGGTATGACACTCAAATACACACTGTACAGTGGACAGTATAACATAGAAACATGAAGGCATGACTTTAAAAACGGCTTTCTTAGAAGGTACTCTCTGGTCAGTTTGGTCTTACAACTTTCACCACCACTTCTTCCATTGCCAAAAACAAAAGTTCTTAAACATATGAAGGGATACAGGGGACAAGCACGATGCCTACCGTTCATCTCTGAAATGTAACAATGTAAAAGTGATCAAATGATAGATGGTGTATATATGTAATTAAGCATAAGACAACAGTCTGAGTCAGGAAGTCATTATGGAGAAATTGTTACAGGAAAATACCTTCATATCAAATTGTATTATCGCTAATACAGTAGGATCGGGTTGCTAAATATTAGCCCTAGGTTTCGGAGGTGTTTCAGCCAATGCAGCAGAGTTGTAGAAATGCTTGTAAAATGTAGCTTTGTATTTACTAATGACATTTCTGTTTCTGAGAAAGGTAGCTGTATAAAATAGTCACGAATTCACAGTTTATAAAAAAAAAAACATTAATGAGGCCTTTTACACTCATAACTGATAATAAATGTAATCATTCAGGGATCAACGACAAGCGGACTGTCACAGAGACCCCAGAGCACACACAAAACCAAAGAGATGTGAATAGTACTTTACAGCTAGAGAAATAACAGAAAATTACCTCCCATTTGAATTAACAGAAAGATTAACCCAAAACCCTGAAAATAACTTTGAAACCAAGGCTTCAGCTAAGTACTGTAACGCATGGGACTCCAACCGTATATGCTGAGTCTCTTCAGCTTCACCGCTGTTGCTACACCTCACTGTCTTTCTCCACGTGGCTCTGCATGTGTTCAGGAAGCTTCTGCAGAGAAAATACAAGCAAGACAAAAAACGCCTCTTATACTGTTTTCTGTTCATATTATCACGATTCAGACTCTCACACATTACTCAGCTAATACTTCACTCACACAGAATTACACAGGGTCGGTGCATTACCTCTCTAACAGCCTGCTGTGTGCCAAAAAACGAGCTGCAGCCTCTCCAGCGACACTTGATCGCCTGCAGGTTTGGGTTGCTGTGTTTGAGGAGGTGCTCAGAGAGATGCTCCGCCATGCCGAAGATCAGAGTGCAGTTATACCACTGTACAGAGGGCAAAGGTCACAGAGACACATGTTAAGATGCATTTAGAAATGGTATATTCATTCAATATCTTGTGGAATATGTCTCTTGGAATTGGGTCAGAGTAAAGGCACTGATTACGTTATGTTTCATCCGACTTAAAATCTCTGAATGCTTTATGTATAATGAGTTTGAGTCGTTACCCAGCAGCGGTAGTTCTTCATCAAGTTGAGCTTCACAGCTTGGATGGAGCCATCATAACAGCCCGTGTAGATCTGAGTGGGACAGATATTTCAACAGTATCATGAATCAACCTCTGTCATGCAAGTAAGGATTCTAAATGATGGCTGGGCAAGTTCAATTCCACGTACCACACTCTTATGTACGACCATGCACATCACCATGTCACTGTGACCCCCGTACACCTGCAGGCGGTCATGGGACTGTGAAGACACAAATACAGAAGTTAATCTAATAATATATAGTTATTCACCAGAAACATAAGGAAACAGATGACTAAGATTTTTTTTAAAACTAGATTTTTTAAAAGGTTTTTCAAATAGGGACTGGTTTTCTTTCATTTGTAATGGTACAAATGAAAACTATAAGCAGTCCAATTGTGATTTGTAAAGGAGACAAAGCTTGTTTTGAGTATTATGCAAGGATGGAGAAGCAAAAGAAAGACTTATACAAATGGTCTTCTTTTGAACTGAGGTCTGAAGTTAAAAAATCTAATACCTTTGTTTTTGATTAACTTTTAAATACACGTGCCACTCATTAAAAAAGTATTGTCTAAACATTATTGTAAACTTAAGTTGTAAATACTCTACCTGCAACTCATAAATTCGGACCATCTTATCCAGAGAGGCTGTCACCATCACTTTCCCCAGGATGACTATCGATGTGACGGCATGATTGTGACCTTTGTAGATTCGGACCAACTCACCCGTCTGCAAATAAAGAGGGAGAATACAATAACGTTGACAGTGAATGAATGAAGTTAAACAGAAACGACCTTTAACGCAAACCCAGGGAGTCACTGTGCTTAAATTAAAAGGTTAATGTTTCAAGATTAAGAAAGCAACTAAACTAAAGCATGTTTTATATTTTTGTCTCAGTAACTTCCAAGACTCATGACATTTTCTGTTTATTACATTTCTGTTGTTAAAACGCATCAACACGTAGTGCAAGTGCCCGTCCTTTTCGTATTCAGAGATAGTTAAACTCATGGAAATATATTTGACACTCACGTGGATGTTGTGAGCATGAACCGATTTGTCAGTGGAGCCGCTGAAGACCAGGTCGTTCACCACCTGAAAACAAGTAAATCAGTACAATTGATGTACAAGTGATATTTTCTTTACTAAAATGTCCTCTGCAAACACATAGTACTACTGACCCTTTTTATACAAATGTCAGTCGCAATTTAGAATCATTTAGTGTCCTTATCCAAACAAAGATCATCATCATGTTAATATACTTTCACTTTTAATACTAAAAAACCTGGCTGCTATAACACTATTTAATACATGCTACACTTATTGTTTTTAAATACTGGTACTGGATGTGTAATTGTGCATGCTTCTTAGTTAATATTAAGCTATTTTTGGATCTTTACTTTGGGCTGTAACAATGTAAATGTCCCCTTTGTGGGACGAATAAAGGTGTTCTGATTTTAAACAGTGTCCTCCAGACGTAGGCGTGTCTCCCAGTCCTCACCTTCATGCAGAGGATAGTTTTGGTGTGGCCGTCCAGCGTGCGCAGCAGCAGGCCGTTCTTGGCGTCCCGCACGCTGATGGTGCTGTCGTAGGAGCCGACCAGCAGCACCCGGCGGGCACCTTCCTGAGCCGTGCCCAGACAGCTGACCCCGCGCGGGCCGTGGCAGTCAAACATATCCAAGTTCTTCAGAGTCTACGAGAGAGATCAGGAGGAGGTTTAAGAAAGATATAGAGATCATGTTGATTGGTTTTTAAATCTACTGTAAGAACATTGCTCTGGCAGAGAAAGGAGAAAGCAAGACTTGTGCAATACAGTCTACAATACTGTAAAATGAGTGGCTGCATATACAGATAAGAAAAGCTTTTTGTTAGCGTGGTCAATAGAAAACTCTGGTTACAGGTCTACACAAGTGAAAAACATAATCTGACTGAACCAAACCCAATATCAGATCAAAGGTTGTTTATATAGCCCAATATCACTAATTACGTTCTTCTCAGTGGGCTTTACAGTTGAACAAACATAGAGGACAGTGTCACTCACCTTTAAGTCAAAGCTAGCCACTGATCCACTAGCGAGTCCAGCATACAGGATGTTGGAGGTTGAGTGCAAACACAACACTCTGTCTGACAGCGTGATCTGCTCCAGACACCGTGTGGTCTAGAGACAAGAGGAATAAAATGAATCAACAAAAAATAAAACGTTCAAAATGCAAACCCGACAACAGGAGGCAGAACTTTAGATTAGCAATTCAACGATTCAATTATAACTAGCTCTGCCAGTAAAGACTATATTTTTTGGACAAAACGATGGATTTTACCCTGTCTAATAAGGGTGGAAAAGTCAAATACGAAATACAGGGGGTCATGTGTATCACAATATCAGTTGTCCAGGCATTTCGTACCTTTATGCTGAAGCAGCGGATGGTCTGGTCACTGGATCCGGTGTAGAGACGAGCCAGAGTGTTAGGGGACGACGACACCAGCAGACAGTTGACCTTGTTGGTGTGACCTTCAAACACTGCTTGGCACTCCTTAGTCTGGATACACAGGGACAACATGATATCTTATATTTTAAAACAAACACTCATGATAGAGAGGGGTTTTAGTTTGAACACATTTGCTTATTCTCAGGGGAGGGATACACTAGTCAGCAGAGACACACTTGGGCAAAAGTGAGAAGACATTTTGGATTCTGATGAACGTACCATGAGACTGTAGGCCCGCGCTGTGTTGTCCCCTGAACACGTGTACAAGCGGCCGTCGTGAACTTGGAGGCCGTGGACGGGGCCGGTGTGGTTAGAAAAAACTCCAACTGATGGCTCCTGATCCTCGGACACTTCAATGCACTCTGGGGAAAAAAGTAATGAGGTCTTTGCTTTCATCCAAAACATCTTCTGTGAAACCTTATGTAAGCAGGAGAAAAACACTCACCTGAAGGAATCTTTACATCTTCAACTTTAAGTGTAGGCTGACATTTTCTGAGTGGCAAAAAGAGAAAGAAAGGTCACATTTATCAGAATAGTACTGCTTGTAATGTTTAGGATCTTGCATTAAACACCATCTCACCTCTCAACTTCCTTTTGCGGGATCGTCTGTGTGCCTGAACAGCTGACCTCCACACTGACAGAGCTCTGAGGAGGCTCCGGCTGGACGGGAACATTCTGTACTTCCTCACAGTCCGATTCATCGATATTAATGACCACCGAGACGGGGGACTCAATCAGTTTGAGAGAGGTGTCGCTCTCGTTCCCTCCATCGTTGTCTACTACAACGGACGTATTTAGATCTTTTTTTGGTACAGGAGTGGAGACGGGCTTTTCTGCTGCTGGCTGTTTTTCTTTAATAGGTTCTATGCAAACAACATCTCCAATCTCTTCCACAGAGTCACTGTCATCTACCTTTTCTTCTTCTTGTCTCACTAACCTCACGCTCTCCTGCCAGAGAGATGATTTCGGAAAATGATTTGTATTTGCTGATGTAGAGCACTCTGTTGCAGGTTGTTTGAAAGAGGGGACAGCCATTGGAGGAGAAGCTGAGTGTGGAGGGAGGAAATCAGAAGGTAACAAGGAGACAGGAGACTTCACAGGAACCTGATGTGTGTCAGAGATACAGGAGACAATTTGAATGGCTTGTCCAGAGGTGGATGGCTGGGAGATGTCTTGCATTACTGGTATGGTTGGGAGGGCGAGCGGGCTAACGGAAGGGGGTGTGTTTGTTGGCGATGGTTGCTGGCTCGGGGGGGCGGAGGGGGAGTAGGGGAAGGCACTGGAGGAAGGCAGAGGGGAGAGTCTTGGTTGCACAGTGGGAGAAGGGGCTGCAGGTAAAAGGGGGGCTTTCTCTACGTTAGATGCTGCTTTGTGTATTTCTAGAAGAGATTTAGAGAAAAAAAACAAAGTAATGTATTAAAAACAAATTCCATTTTGATTCAGACAATTAATGAAACAGAAAATCAAACTAAATTAGTAGAAACAGTGGGGCAGAGAACATAGCTTCTAAAGAAAATAACCCTCCCTTTAGTCATCCAGTTTCAGCATTTTGGTCAGGGACCCAAATATTACGGCCATGTTGATAAATACACATGAATACATGGAATGATATATATACACAAATACAAATATATACGTAATGTATATATTCACACATACACATATATAATTTTTTTTTTTTAAGGTAAACCAAAAAGCAATGACAAGCAAAAACAAAGATGTAATGTACCTTTCATCCCTTGCAGGATTTCAATGCGCTGGGCTCTGAGATGGTTGACCTCAAAAGTGAACTGTAATAGAAGGAAGGAAGAAAAATGTAATGTTAACCATGAAAATACACCATTGGAAAAGATTAAAAAAAATCTGTGTCTTCATTAGTGTGGTACCTGCTGCCTCAATAGCAGGAGTCTCTGGACTTCAGCGTAGGCGGCCTGCAGGGTGTTGCGGGCTTGGATCAGAGACACGTCGAAATTCTGCAACGAGTAGGTCAGCTCGTCCTCCCTCAGAGACACAGCCAGCAGCTGGTCCATCTGGCCCTGCTCTGATAGGCAGGAAACATACAGAAAAATATACTCTGAGATTTATGGGATGACTATCCGATGACATGACTGGGATTAAAACAACGTCAATCCGAATAAATAAGAGGCTTCGGAGTTTAGAACTAGTTAATTTCTCTTCCGTTTCTGTTTTAAACTGCATTATGTACATTCCCTTGAGCCGTCTCTTCATAAAAAACATGTTATTTAAATAAACTTGCCTCCTTATATATGCTGTTTCCAAATAGCCTTGTTATGTGACCTGTGTATATTTACACTCCTACAATGAAATGATAATGCCTCAAAATGCCAGAAATCCTTCACAGTATGTCAGAATTACAAATTATAGAAATCAAATAAAAAGGTTATATTTACCATTGTTTGACTTTGTTTTCTTTTTTTTCCCACTTGGCTCCTTATCAGCCAAGCCATCACACTGTAGCAAAACATGATAATCAGGTTTTAACACAAAAAAAAAAAGTATGTTTCAGCGGTGGCCCTCACCGAGAAAAACTGTATAATACACACCATTTTGTGTTTCCTCTTGCTGGTATCACTGTCGGCACTCAAATCTACAAATGCTACGTCCGACTCCACCTTCACACGGACAGCTTGGACTGTGTGAGTGCTGCAGCCTTCCTGTGCTGCGTCAGGCTGCTCCGATGGCTCCTGCCTCTGAGGTTCTGACTGCGGCTCGGTGTAAGACTCGTAATATGTTGCGTTCTGGGGTGGAGGAGGTAGTTCGTTCCAGTGTGCGCCTGATAGAGTGTCTGAGACAGCCTCCCAGTGAAAGCCCTCGGACAGACTCATGTCGATTACCTCTGCTCGTGTTAAACTCTCTTTTTCAGAATGACGCTTCGTAAGCTCAATTCCAAACCTGTTACCACACAACACAATAGATATAAAAACTTATGTTTGACAAAGGGCAACACTGACAGTTAAAACAATGTTTACCTGGGCCTGACTTTGCCTCTTTCCTGCTTCTTCCTCTTCCTGTCCTCGTACATCTCCCTCCAGTTTGACTTGCCTTTAGGGACTGATAAGCTAAACACCTTATTTATAGTTGGTTTAGGTACAGGCATTTTTCCTCTCTGAACTGCGGCTGAATCACGGGCAATTCGAACCTTGCGGGCTAAAGTTGGTCCATTTGACACATTTTCCCACATAGGAGCAATGTTAGATGGACCAGCACCAGCAGTGGAGGAAGAAGCAGAGCTGTTGTCGTATGAAGATTGCATAGATGTAGCTGCAGCAGAGGCAACATGAATGGGAGTTTCCTTGGCTTTGTTCCTGAAGGAGCACCGTGCCTGCTGCTGTCTCCCAGCTTTAGTTTGCCCCCCCGTCTCACTGCTCTGTTTCCGAGCTTCACGATCGGCCCGACACGGCTCCCTCACACCCAGCGCGCGTCTGATCTGCCGCAGCATCGCGCTGACGTCCACGTCCCGTATCGGAGCTGCGTTTGTGGATTTGTTTGTCTGAGAATGTTGAGCTGAAGCTTCCTTTCCTGAATGAGAACATCCTGAACTCTCACCCTGGCAAATACCAAATATGATAGCTCCGTTATGAGGAAGGTGATCACTGGTGAAGTCTCCATCGTATGGCTTGTTGTAATAGTCATTATGTCGGTCTCTTTGGGGGCACTGCTGAGCTGATTGGGCGCACTTGTGAACAGCAACGTAATGTTGAGTGTGACCCGGCTCTCCTGACAAACAAGACAATCTTCCGCTTTGATTAGGCAGAGATGATTCTGCTTGGTGAAGAAGCCTTTTCACACTGGACAATTTATTCTCTTTGTTTTGAACAACAACAAGGGTTCTTCCTTGCAGGAAGGTTCCCTGTTGCAGTTTCCAATTGTTCACTTGTTTGTTCTTCCTTAACACTGCTTTGGACACCGCTGTGTTTTTTCCTTGCACTTCTGCACGCTTCTGATCATAATCCTG